CACACACACCACACACACACGCACCACACAAACACACCATACACACACACACCACACACACACCACACACACACACCACACACACACACACCACACACACACACCACACACACACACACCATACACACACACCACATATACCCACACACACACACACCACACACCACACACACACAGCACACACACACACACACACAGCACACACACACACACACACACAGCACACACACACACCACACACACCTACACCTGCTTCCACCCCCTCCCATTCTTCCACAAACCCTTGCCATTAGCTCCAGTGTCTCACTCAACTACACTGTTTGTGATGCTGCTGTTAAACAAGAAATGGCCGACTGCATTTGGGGAAAAGAAGAAAACCTAAGACCTTCGTAAACAAAACTGCCTTCCACTGGGTGCGTTTTGCTAACGGCCATTGCGAAGCTGAAGTGGTTCAGTGGTGGAGAAGTCTGGCGACCGGCGGCTCCGTTGTCCCTGATGCGTGCCTTCCCCGTGGTCTGTCCTCAGGTGGAGCAGCCTCTGAGGTCCCGGAAGGCCGTCTGGCACAAGCTGCTGTCCAAGCAGCGGAAGCGGGCTGTGGTGGCCTGCTTCAGGATGGCCCCTCTCTACAACCTGCCCAGGTATGTCTCCTCCATTTCCCTCTGCACCCGTTGATAGGAGTTAAGTAGCTTCCAGAGCCGCACACTTAGATATAAAGAACAGAGATTGGAGTCCCTGGCCCATGGCCAGGGCTCCCTGGTGTCAGGCCTGCCCAGCCCCCCAGCATCTCCGCAGTACGGGCAGGAGCCTGGGGGCTCCACTTGGCCGGTGGGGGACTCTTCCTGAAGGTGTAAAGGCGTCTGGGAAAAAGAGCTGCTTTCTAAAACATGTGACCTCAAATTCCAACTGAAGGCCAAGCAGGGTTTCCTGCTCGGATACTTGACACCAAATGTACTGTGTCTTCAGCAGACACAGAGATGTAACTTGAGAGCCCTTTAATGTGCATACTCACCATGGAGAAGGGCTGGCGAGGGGCAGTGTGTAAAACCACGCAAAGGTTTTGCGGTGATGTGTGACGCATCATCCTGTGTCGGCACAGCCGGTGAATCAACTGAGACAAACACCTGAGATACACCGGCCTAGGAGGAAGGAAGATTGTTCCCCTTGGTGGTTTCAGGTCTTGGTCCATGGTCTCTTGGCTGTGTTGCTTTAGATCTAACAGAACATCCTGACAGGGAGCACAAGACAGATCCGACCTGCCCACCCCATGGTAGCTGGGAAGCAAAGAGCAGTGAGATCCAGAGCGTGCACTGTGGGTGTCTGCCCAGCGGAACTGGACAGTGTGTTTGTTAACAGCAGAGCTGTGGCCTCACAGTGTCTGGAGGGGTGGGGTCAGGTCTGTGATGGAGAGCAGAGCAGGTGCTTGGATGTCAGCCTCTGCTCCATCAACCTCCTGTTCAGTGGAAACAGAAAACACCTTGGCAAGCATCTTCTCAACCCAGGTAGAAAGTTTCAGACAAGGGCCGCTCCCCGGGGGGTCTTAGCCATTGTCCAGAGTCAACTCCACTCTCCCACTCAGGGTCTTCAAAAACGGGAAAATCACAGACCTGAGACTGGCACTTGCTCTGGCGGGCCTTTCAAAAGAAAACAGGTTTCTGTTTGGGGGACAGAATGGGCATCACTAAATCAATCAATAAATACTGAATTTGAAAAGGTAAAAATTTAAATCAAACTGCTGGAGACATGGAGGATTCAGAAGTACTGGCAGAAAAGTAAAATTTGTAGCCTTAAAAATATGCCAAAGGGCGCCGGGCGCTGGTGGCTCACGCCTGTAATCCTAGCTACTCAGGAGGCTGAGATCTGAGGATCGCGGTTCAAAGCCAGCCCGGGCAAGAAAAGTCCATGAAACTCTTATCTCTAATAAACCACTATAAAACCGGAAGTGGCGCTTTAGCTCAAGTGGTAGAGCGCTAGCCTTGAGCTGAAGAGCTGAGGGACAGCGCCCAGGCCCAGAGTTCAGGCCTCACGACCGACCAAAAAACAAAAAACAAAACAAAAATATGCCAAAGGGGGCTGGGAAGGTGGCTCAAGTGGTAGAGCGCTTGCCTTGCATGCCTGAGGCCCTGGGTTCGATTCCTCAGCACCACATAAGCAAAAAGCCGGAAGTGGCGCTGTGGCTCAAGTGCTAGAGCGCTCGCCTTGAGCTGAAGAGCTGAGGGACAGCGCCCAGGCCCAGAGGTCAAGCCCCACGACTAAAAAAAAAAAAAAAAAAATGCCAAAGTACATAGGATTTTAGTTTGTTTTCTGGAAGTAACGAAACATGAGAAAGCATTTGCTTTCCTGCCTGTCACCTGATGCTGTGCTAGTTTAGTCTGCAGAAGAGCGCGGGCGGGCAGGCAGCTAGGGCATCTCTCTAACACTCACACCGTCTGAATCCACGGAAGATGCCAGCGCCATCCTTGCACTGGGGCTGCCTCTCCCTGACTTCACTCACGTGGGTAGGGAAAGCCCAGGGATTCGCGCTGTCTGTGGTGATGACCACCCCAGACCCGCCTGCCTGCACGGGTCCCCGGGCTTTCGCTCTGGCATGGACTGAAAAGCAGATTCACAGCTGGAAAGTAGACAACACTTGTCACCTTGTGATCCGCTCAACGACATGGCATCTCCCAAAACAAAAGTGGGTCTGTCTAGGTGGAAACGGTTCCTCTGATGTTCGTTTTTAAAAGAAAACCTGTATGCTTTTCTCCAGACACAAAATTAACAATTTCTTCCTGAGCACCTTCCAACGGGTTTGGCTGGAAAAGGTTAATGGAAAAGCTCAGTATGACAGGCTTATACCCGTGTTAATGGTAATGTAATCTGGGGGGGGCCGCTCCTGTTCCGCACTCTTCCTTTCCTTTCCTGACTGTGATTAATGTGAACATAAAACAGATTTGTACAATTGCGTCCTGCGCTCTGATTGGTCAGATTTGGCCCTTCCACACTCTCCTGCGCACAGCCGCTCTGGAGCAGTCCCAGCCGTCAGCCCTGGCCGGGGCGGGTGTCTCTGCCCGTCCGCAGCCCAGGAGCGCGGGCAGGGGGCCGGGCACACAGGTGTGCTGTTGGCACTGGAGCGTGACAGGGGGTGCCTGCCTCTAGAAGCTTCCGCACCTGGCTCAGGCCGTTGTGTGGAGGACTGGTGTTTGAGGCCATCGCAGACGACACCGCCCACCGCCGCGATGTGCGGCCACACCGCAGGGCTCCGATAGGCCCGGTGTCCCTTCTCACCAGGGGGAGAGGCGGGCAGCGCGCCAGCCTGGCTGAGGGTCGCAGGCACCGCCCTGCCTTGCGCCACCACGGCTGGGCTGGGAAAGCGCTCTGACATTGGGCAGGGCCTGGTTAGAGAGCCCCGGTGAGCGCCTGGCCAGCTGACCAATCAGATCTGAATTGTACAAAACCCTGCCCTGCTCACTAAGCACTAACCGCCCAGACCGCAGCTCTGAGTCCCGCCTCTCACCCTTGCTCAGGCACCGCTCTGTTAACCTCTTCCTCCATGGCTATCAGAGATTTTGGATAGAAACAGAGGCGTACTCCTTTGAAGAGAAGCTAGTGCAGGACTTGGCTGTAAGTATTGACCTGCGGGTGTGCGTATGGTTGAGTTTGACTGTGTGTGTGTGAAACAGCTTATCACACACGAAAACCAAATGTATGAGAGGACTGAACTCTGGGTTCTCAGGGAAGCCTTGCCGATGGTCCTAAGAGCAAAGGGTGCACTTTGAGTTAGTGCTAACACGTTCACCCTCCCCCTCCCCCTCCCCCTCCTCCCCCTCCCCCCTCCTCTTCCTTTTTCCTCCTCCTCCTCCCCCTCCTCCTCCTCCCCCTCCTCCTCCTCCCCCTCCTCCTCCTCCCCCCCTCCCCCCTCCTCTTCCTCTTTTTCCTCCTCCTCCTCCTTTTTCCTCCCCCTCCTCCTCCTCCTCCCCCCCTCCTCCTCCTCTTTTTCCTTCTCCTCCCCCTCCCCCTCCCCCTCCTCTTCCTCTTTTTCCTCCTCCTCCTCCTCCCCCTCCTCCTCCTCCTCCCCCTCCCCCTCCCCTCCTCCTCCTCCTCCTCCTCTTTTTCCTCCTCCTCCTCCTCCCCCTCCCCCTCCCCTCCTCCTCCTCCTCCTCTTTTTCCTCCTCCTCCTCCTCCTCCTCTGCATTAACAGCTAACATTCCCTGCGCCCTGTCGGCAGGGCGTCACCTACGCCAGCCAGGACCCTGCATTCTAGCAGTAGCTGCTCTGGGAAGGGCACGCCGCAGTTCTGTTCCTGCACCTCACATCTCTACTGGCTTTCAGAAAACCAGGCTCAGCGCACTCTCAACCCCTTAGAGCAACATGCCAGGGAAAGTACGTCCTGCAGAAGGACCACACCACAGCCTCCTCCTGATTCAGAAAGAAGGGAAACCCTGCTCTGCTGTGCCGACCCGCGGCACCCCCTCCTCCCCGTCCTCCCCTCCTCCCCCGTCCTCCCCTCCTCCCCCCCGTCCTCCCCTCCTCCCCCGTCCTCCCCTCCTCCCCCCCGTCCTCCCCTCCTCCCCCGTCCTCCCCTCCTCCCCCCCGTCCTCCCCTCCTCCCCCGTCCTCCCCTCCTCCCCCCCGTCCTCCCCTCCTCCCCCCCGTCCTCCCCTCCCCCCCGTCCTCCCCTCCCCCCCGTCCTCCCCTCCTCCCCCATCCTCCCCTCCTCCCCTCTGTCCTCCCCTCCCCCCCGTCCTCCCCTCCTCCCTCCCCTCCCCTCCTCCCCCGTCCTCCCCTCCTCCTCCCTCTCCTCCCCTCCCCCCGTCCTCCCCTCCTCCTCCCTCTCCTCCCCTCCTCCCCCGTCCTCCCCTCCTCCTCCCTCTCCTCCCCTCCTCCCCCGTCCTCCCCTCCTCCTCCCTCTCCTCCCCTCCTCCCCCGTCCTCCCCTCCTCCCCCGTCCTCCCCTCCTCCCCTCTGTCCTCCCCTCCTCCCCCATCCTCCCCTCCTCCCCTCTGTCCTCCCCTCCTCCTCCCTCCCCTCCCCTCCTCCCCCCTGTCCTCCCCTCCTCCCCCCCGTCCTCCCCTCCTCTCCCCCGTCCTCCTCCCCCGTCCTCCCCTCCTCCTCCCTCTCCTCCCCTCCTCCCCCGTCCTCCCCTCCTCCCCCGTCCTCCCCTCCTCCCCCGTCCTCCCCTCCTCCCCCGTCTTCCCCTCCTCCCCTCTGTCCTCCCCTCCTCCCCCGTCCTCCCCTCCTCCTCCCCCGTCCTCCCCTCCTCCCCCGTCCTCCCCTCCTCCCCTCCTCCTCCCTCTCCTCCCCCCGTCCCCCCCGTCCTCCCCTCCCCTCCCCTCCTCCCCCGTCCTCTCCTCCCCTCCCCTCCTCCCTCCTCCTCCCCTCCTCCCCTCTCGATCTCTCTCCCATCACTTACTTTCTCCACAAATCCTGTGTTTCTTTCGGTACCTTTCCCTACCACGTTCTGTTTCTTTCCCCCTCCCTTTGCTAAGCCCTTCCACCTCGTTCTCCTCTGCACGCTCCTATAGGTGGGAAAGGCGCTTGCCCGCTTCCCATCGGCCCCGAGTGCACTGAGTGCTCACACCCGGGGAGTTCTCCCCCACGGAAAACTCTCCTCCCCCTTCTGCCAGAGGAGGGAGAGGGGCAAGGCCTGAGCTGGGGGCAGCTGCTCTGACAGCGAGGAGGTGTTAGAAGGTGTGAGGCCAGCAGGCAGCCGCTCTGGGAGCAGGAGGTGTTAGAAGGTGTGAGGCCAGCAGGCAGCCGCTCTGGGAGCAGGAGGTGTTAGAAGGTGTGAGGCCAGCAGGCAGCCGCTCTGGGAGCAGGAGGTGTTAGAAGGTGTGAGGCCAGCAGGCAGCCGCTCTGGGAGCAGGAGGTGTTAGAAGGTGTGAGGCCAGCAGGCAGCCGCTCTGGGAGCAGGAGGTGTTAGAAGGTGTGAGGCCAGCAGGCACACAGGCTGTATCTAGAACAGTATTAGACCCAAAAACAGCCCCAGGGCTTTGTGCTTCTTGCTCCCCCTACCCCACCGTCTCCAACCTAATTCCCCGAGAGAAATTTCCAGAATTGGCCAGCGGGACTCAGCCTCTGAACTCCTGCCCACCGCGGGTACCCCGGCTTGCATGGAAGTTCTGCTGGCGGGCCCAGCGCTCTTCCCTCTGGTTGGCCTCTGCCCTTTCTCCGCTCTCACCTGGCCTAGCCCTGTAATGTGTCCATGTCTCTGCCAGCCGCCGTCCTGAGGCTATGGTGTCCTCTTCTGCTCCCAACCCGATGCCTCTGTGCCTTGCGCTTGGCCTCTTTTGCATGCAGCGCTGTGGCACGCGGTGAGTCTGTGCCTAAACCTACGGTGCATTTGTTGTAGAGATCGCCCACGGTGGAGGAGGAAGAGGAGGAAGAGCCGGAAAGGCAGCCGGACCCGCTGCACCAGATCATTCTCCACTTCAGCCGCAGCGCGCTCACGGAGAGGAGGTCAGCCCGGATCCGCGGCCGCCCTCCTCTTGAACGGGCCCGGGGTGGGGGCGGGCTGTGAGCCCACGGTGGCCGGCAGCACAGGGAGCCTCAGGAGCTGCTCCCAGCCAAGACCCTCGCGTCAGGTCGTCGGGCAGCCTCGGAAGACGAAGCAGCCAGGAGTTGCATCTTACTCCTGAGCTCCATACAAGCCAGCGCTGATTCAGATCCCAGAGGTCTCTGTAAGGGGGGGAGGGGGAGTTTTCTAATTAGCTCACTAGTGCCCATAACCTGAGAGTCACATGGCACGTGGTCTTTCCTGTGGGATTCAAGAGGTAGCCTCTAACGACTTCCTTCGTTCTCTTCAGCAAACTGGAAGAGGACCCTTTGTATACCTCCTACTCCAGCATGATGGCCAAGGTACATGGGGTGTCTGCGCATTGTCCCTCTGTCTCCCTAGGCCTAAGGCTCCCAGCACATGGAGATATCGCCTGGACCAGTCCGCTGCGCCACAGGCGCCCGAGAGAGGGTCCCGCGGGAGCCAAGCCCTGTGGGTCACAGCCGCACGGCCGCTGCGTGGGAGCAGGACACCTCCCTGCTCTCCCTACCCCCATGCACCCCAGAACTTTATTTGCTGAGGAGGGGCGTCAGCCCGCTTCCCTCTGACTATGAATCTTGGTGCTCCCCTCTCTTACCTCTTAACCCCTTGATAACTGTACAGATGGCATTTGAACTAGAGTGTTGTCATAGAGTAATCAGAATGTTCCTGGCTTTGCAGAGTCCTGAGGTCCCAGGGTAAATTATAGCTTGTCACCCATCCGTGCCAAGTAGAACAAAGTTGTATTTATTAGCAGTCTTGGTCTGATTATTTTTCTGCTCCTGCCCCTGCTCCATGGAAATCCAGAGCTGTCAGAGCGGAGAGGATGAAGACGAAGAGGAAGACAAGGAAAAAACATTTGAGGTAAGTTTTCATAAAGATTACACACAAGGCTGCCTGGCAGGCCAACCAGCGGCAGCTTCTCGCTGGCCGGCCGGGTGAGGCTCCGCCGCGGTGTCTGAGTGTCTGCCGCCCACCTCACAGCCCAGCCGGGCAGCCGGAAGCGGTGCCCACCCACGAGCCATGGCTGACCGCGTCACACCACTTCCCGGAGCTGTGAAAGAACAAATCTACGCAGCCAAAAACGAAACATCAGAGCCATGCGTTGGATTTTGCACTACTGTTCTGTAAATGCAAATGGATACTACTTTTCATTTGAAATCCACGGGGGCCTGAAGCTAAAATATTTCAGGTTCCTCATACTCTGCAATTTGCAGAGCACCCCACAGACTGCGCGGATGCAAATGAACAGAGTCATGGCGGAGCATGTTCACGCTCCAGTGGCCCAGCGCCAGGAAGTGTGTGTTTCCAGAGGGTGGAACATTCTGGAGGAGGGGCGCTGTTTATGTTCAGGCACATTTGTGCAGATTGGCTCCTCAGCGTCTTTTCTGTATGACAGGGCACTGAAAATACACACTTTTGTTTGTTTGCTTACTTTTTTGAGACAGACTCTCAGTATGTATCTTGGGCAGGTCTTGAACTTGGGATGCTTCTATTTAGTACTAAAATTACAGGAGTGTGCCACCGTACATGTCTTGAAGCACACACATTTTCCTGTGGTCATAGTGTCAGAGGAGGAGGAGGACACTATGTTACCTCTCAGTACAAAAAGTGGAAGATCTGTCTTTGGTTTGTGAGCGAGTATGAGTCAGGTGCTTGGAAAGCTGTCTGTAAGCCTCAGGGTTGCTTATCGGACACGATGGCTGTGGTCCATAGGCCACTAGGACTCTCAGCTCCCCTGAGCATGGAGAATCGCTTTCAGGGGAGTGGGAACGGGGGACCGAGGTAGAGACTGGGAAGCAATAGAGGGTGAGGGACAGGACGTTCTCTGTGTTTCCCCCCTAGGAGAAAGAGATGGAGAAACAGAAAACCCTCTACCAACAGGCTCGGCTACATGAACGTGGGGCTGCCGAGATGGTTCTACAGATGATCAGTGCCAGCAAAGGTGAGTTCCCCGCTTCCCGGACAAGCCCGGCAAACCACCCAGAGCCGCCACTCGAGGAGAAAGCCACCGTTACCAAGTCCTGGTAAAGCCGGTAGCATGGCTTCCGTTGGCGTCCTCCGTGACTGCACTGCACCTTCGCCTGGCAGGTGAGATGAGCCCCATGGTGGTGGAGACGCTGAAGCTGGGGATCGCCATTCTCAACGGCGGCAACACGGGCGTGCAGCAGGTGAGGGGACGCCCGGGCGGGGCGCGGCCGTCCCGGGCAGAGCGCGGCCCTCCCGGGTAGAGCGCGGCCGTCCCGGGCGGAGCGCGGCCCTCCCGGGTAGAGCGCGGCCGTCCTGGGCGGAGCGCGGCCCTCCCGGGCAGAGCGAGTCCATCCCGGGCAGAGCGCGGCCGTCCCGGGCAGAGCGAGTCCATCCCGGGCAGAGCGCGGCCGTCCCAGGCAGAGCGAGTCCATCCCGGGCAGAGCGCGGCCGTCCCGGGCAGAGCGAGTCCATCCCGGGCAGAGCGCGGCTGTCCCGGGCAGAGCGAGTCCATCCCGGGCAGAGCGCGGCCCTCCCTGGCAGAGCGCGGCTGTCCCGGGCAGAGCGCGGCCGTCCCGGGTAGAGCCCGGCCGTCCGGGCTGGCCCGTCCCGGGTAGAGCACGGCCCTCCCGGGCTGGCCCGTCCCGGCCTGGCAGTTCCAAGCACTAAGGAGGAGTCGCCGGGGGCAGCAGAGGGCCGCCATCGTTCTTAGCGGCCAGTCCTGTCCGAGCACGGATGATTATAACCAGGGCTGGGAGTTTATAGGCAGATGTGCATTTGATGACGAGGTTTTACCCAGGGGTAAAAGAAGTAAATGTTTCCTTTTGTTGCCAGTAGCTGACTTCATGCAGAAATACATGTACTGTGGAGTTGTGCCCAAGCCTTAGGGTTGGATTTTTCTCAGGCCTGTTCTAGTTTGCTGCCTCATAAGGAATCTCATCCACACGGGGGCGGGGGGGGGGGTTTGGAACCCCCATACGCATCCCCATACGCTTTACTCATTCTGTGAGGCATGAGCAGATTGTTGACCTGCCAGGCTGGTGATGGGCTGATGCTGTGGCCTTGCAGTGCGGCAGCACTGAATGCTACAAATAGAACCCTGCCGCCATGCCGCTGGCATGCTAGCAAGCCTCAGACAGTGACAGTGCATACCGCCAAGTGCCTGAAGTCTGAATCGGGAGCACTCCCAGCAGACAGGCGTGGAGCATCCAGGCACACAGAAGAGTGACGGTTCAGACAGACATTTACACAGTCATATCCCAGGCCATGGAGGAGCTCTACTTCCATAGCCACCATCTCACACATCACCTCTTCCGCCTTTAACACTTACCAAACAGATTGCTTACTAAGAAATGCTGTTTTCGGGCTCAGAATGTGGCTCAGTGGTAGAGTGCTTGCCTAGCATGCATGAAATCCTAGAAATCCTAGGTTCAATTCCTCAGTACCACCTAAACAGAAAAAGCCAGGAGTAGCACTGTGGCCCAAGGGGTATAGTACTAGACTTGAACAAAGGAATCTCAGGGACAGTGCCCAGGCCAAGTTCAAGCCCCAGGACTGGAAAAAGTAAATAAAACAAAAAAATAATTGCCATTTTCTTAGTGATTTGTCTTCTCTCAATCCCCCCACCCTCTATCAGTTGACTACTTTACAGGCCTTTAAAAAATCCATCAGTTAACGAACATTTTTGGCTGTCTGAAAACTCCTGCCTTCCCATTAACAGAGACAGCATAAAGTCTCTTGTGAAAAAAAAAATATTCTCAGCTTTTAATTGGGTCCCTGGGTTTGGGGTCGGTAGGCAGAGCGTGGGTCTGAGTACGGGTGACTCACAAGCTTGGCGCTTGGTGTGGCTCCTGTTTGCCACTTTCCCACTGGAATTAAAGAGGGCCGGCAGCATCGTTCTCATCGCTTTATCTTGATTTAAAATGTCTCTCCTTTGCAGAAAATGCTAGATTACCTAAAGGAGAAAAAAGATGCTGGATTCTTTCAGAGCCTTTCTGGTCTTATGCAGTCCTGCAGGTAAATATGGGGAAACACTCAGCATTTTCCGGAAGTTTCATTACTCGAGAAGGGGGCAGAATGCAGTGTGCAGGGTTACCTGTGAGCCCCCTCTTTTGGAAAGGAGGGCGGTGGGCACCGTGTGAGTTAGCAGTGCGTTCAAGCAGCATTTGGCAGGGAGAAATCTCCACGAGCTGTTTTCTTTAATTACCTTCCTTGCCTCCTTTTTGGTCAGGTTGTCTTCCTGGGAGGCTGGGTGAGTTCCTCAAACTTTTCTCCAAGCGTGGACACCCACGAAAGCCAAAACAAAAGAACAGGAACGTTAGGGCACCTCACTGTGGTTAGACATACTGCTGTAATCTGTTTTGTAATGATTCTTTGCATGGAGTGTGTTTGGGTGGGTATATATACCCATCTGTCCGTTTTTGTGGTTTTGGGTTTTTTTTTTTGTCGGTTGTGGGGCCTGAACTTCGGTCCTGGGCGCTGTCCCTCCGCTCTTCAGCTAAAGGCGAGCGCTCTACCACTTTGCACCACTTCCCGCTTTTTCTGCTTATGTGGTACTGAGGAATCGAACCCAAGGCCTCGCATGCAAGGCAAGCGCTCTACCACTGAGCCACCTTCCCAGCCCCCCGTATGTCCTTTTCAATGGGACAAATCTCAGAACGGGAACATTTTGACATGGACTACAAGACAAAGCATTTAACTATCCCTTCACATTTCCTAGTTGTGTTAGTCACCCCTCACGGTTGAACCACTGACAAATATGTAACCACCACACTGCTCCTCTGAGAAGTGAGCTAGCAGCCTTTCTAAAAAAAGAGTCAACTTACTCTTGAAAACTCATTCTAAAAGAAAGCAAAGTTGTTTAGCTCATTGCCTCCATGGACTAGGATACGTATTTATCATATTAGATATTTAAAATAGAACATAATGTCTTCCATTTGAACATTTGGAGGATGAGCATGCCTTTGTGCAGACTTCAGGATCCTGCGAACCTTATTTGATTGCACAAATAGTATACCCTGGGGCCACAAAGAGCATGTCTGAGCTACGGCCTGGCTCTTACTCTCAGCTCCCACAGCCTGTTAGTTTATGACTTCTCTCAGGAGAGGAGGATGTGATCTTATCGGTCTGACTCTGTGGGAGGGGCAGCCCGTGTGTACTCAGAGGTAAAGCCCGGGCCATCGTTCCCGCATTGCTCACAAAATGCTCCACTGAATCCCTGAGCACTCTCTCCGCTTCCCACAGTACTTACTGTTGCCAAGCTTGTTTCTAATTCTCGTGTAATGATGGCATGGAAAGGAAGGTGACGGGCACTTAGTCGCCAGCTGACATCTCACCAGCGTTTTAACATGTCTTAATGGGTTTTGATTATTGCAAGAGTAATACACATTTGTAAAATACTTAGGCAGTAGAAAAATTAAAACACTCAACATGGGTGTTCAGGGACTGGAATTAGGATCAGAACTGTGCTGCACAGATTCGGAATGAAAACTGTCCCTTCAAGGCAACGTTCTCTCTCAGTAGTCAGACAGACACAGAGGGCTAGTGCTGTGCTGCGCATCCTGCCACAGCCGGACACAGCGCAGAGCAACACACGGCGGTAAAACTTCACTGTTTGCTGTTTAAAATTTACCTCCATGGCAGACGATCTGTAACTCCCCCAAAAGAGAAGAAGGGGTGCCGTGGCCTTCTTGTCTGCCGTCTCTCCCGCTGCGCACTGCTGGGAGGAAGGCTAGGCCTTTGCGATCCTAATGAACCCAGCGGCCCTGGCGGGAGGCGATCCACACGCAGCTCTCTCCCTGGCATGCTTGATGGTGCCCTAGGGCTTCCTGGTGACAGGAACCTGGCTGTGGCTGTAACCAGAAAGGTAGGAGGAAGTGGAGTGGAAAGGAAGCCAGCTCGCCAGGTTCAAGCACAACATGGGTAAAAACTTACTCTTGACGTAACGGCACCCCAATAGTGAGGAACCACGACCACCCAAGGGTGTGACCCTAAGGTCTGGAAACCACAGCTAACGTGATCTCTGAGAAAGCAGAGGTCTGAAGGTGGAGCCGAGCATCACCCCAACCCTTGGAGTGAGCTTCCCCAAGCAATCGTAGGGGAAGCGCCAATGCTGGACGCACACAGAGGCTTAGGGGTGGTTTCTTGCGGCAGGGCCTCACTGTGAGCCTAGGTTGACCTCGAACTCGGTCCTCCTGGCTGTACCTCCTGGGTGCTAGGATCACAGGCATGTGCCTCAGACTAGCTAACTACGGTATTTTTAAACTTCAATGCTTGATATAAAGTCAAGGAACTGTTCAAACTTCCAATGACACTGCTATGTGTTAGCAATTCAAGAAAATAATAGCACCGCATTTTCTTAGTCAACGGATGCTTTGACGTTAGAAACCCATTTTCCAGTCTGTGTAGCCCTGAACCTTGTTTTCTGTTGTCTGTTAAAAGCGTCCTTGATTTGAATGCATTTGAGAGACAGAACAAAGCCGAAGGCCTGGGGATGGTTACGGAAGAAGGAACACGTAAGTAATGAACACACACCAAGGCCGTCCTCTTCCTGATTAGAATCCCGTTAACCCTTTCTGGCTAGAGCCTCTGGTGGTGGCTTCCAGCCTGCAAAGCCTGCGCCACTTCATCCAAATGTGTGCCGCCCTGGCATGACAAGGTCAACATGCAGGCCAGACGGCTCATAGGCCAGCTGTGACTTGATCAGACCCGAGGTACTGATGTTTTCCTTATTGTCTTCTTTTTTCTTTTATCACAGTTATTGTTCGTGAGCGTGGTAAGTTGGAGTTTCTGGCCTGAGTCCCTCCCCTGTGTGTAAATCCTGAGAGACTGGATTTATGCCCTTCATCAGGGACCATGGCCCTGCCATCTTGGACTTGCAGGTTGCACATGGAGTGTATTTAACCTCATCAGTTTGATGCTTGATTTAAAAAGTGTCTTCCCCTCTGTAAAGCATGGGTTATGGACTGTGAACCGTTTGCGACCACTGCCATGTTGTCATTATAAATGCGTCTTGGGGCTAAATAATTTACCTTTGTTGGGCTCTGTGGTCTGTCACTTCAGCTCTAGGTTAATAGTTTTTCACCATTCATCCAAAGTTCCTTTTCCAAAGCATCCATACACTTCTTGGCTGCTTTCATTAGAAGGTGCTCACTGGACTGTTCTATTTTCAAAGGTGAAAAGGTCCTTCAGAATGATGAGTTTACACGAGACCTCTTTAGATTCCTGCAATTGCTTTGTGAAGGCCACAACAGCGGTAAGTAGGCTATTTGTTGAGGGAGACAGTATTCGGATACACAGTGGTCATTCCTGGGAGACAGCATTAGGATGCACAGTGGTCATTCCTGGGAGACAGCATTCAGATGCACAGTAGTCATTCCTGGGAGACAGCATTCAGATGTACAGTGGTCATTCCTGGGAGACAGCATTCAGATGCACAGTGGTCATTCCTGGGAGACAGCATTCAGATGCACAGTGGTCATTCCTGGGAGACAGCATTCAGATGCACAGTGGTCATTCCTGGGAGACAGCATTCGGATGCACAGTGGTCCTTCCTTTTAGGATGCCCATTCCACACCCAGGGACAGAAGTTAGCACACTCATCAATAGGAGCCCTCACTGTGTGGCTGTTATTGAGTGCCACCAAGGCTAACTCCTCCCAGAACCTCCATCTCTTCGTCTGGCCTCTTTGAGGTTCATGAAGTTCCACGTTGGGTGTCACAGGGTAGGAGGGCTCTGAGTACAGCTCTGGTCTGAAGGTCTGCCAGGCCCCAGGGATGGCGTCTGTCAGACCTGCACAGCGTGAGCTCCTCTGAGCAGAGCTGAAAGGCGGGCCCAGCTCCCTGGGGTTACAGGTACGCCGCGGGCCTGGGCTCTGACCAGCACTGGCACTCTCAGACTTTCAGAACTTCCTGCGGACTCAGATGGGGAACACCACCACTGTAAACATCATCATCAGCACCGTGGACTACCTTCTGCGTCTGCAGGTGAGGGGGAGCCCTGGGCAGAGGCTCCACACTTCCAAAGGACAGGAAGGCCAGGACACGCATCTTCTTAGATCTTCCCTGAGGCTGCGCCCCGTGAACCCATCATAAGCTGAAATTGCATCTAATGCACTTAGCCTGTAGACCATCACAGCTCAGGGCCAGGAGTGCTGCAGAGCTGGGCTGTCCACCCTGGCAGTGGTGCAGTGGCTGGCCGCTGGGGCTCGGCCCACGCTCGGCATCCTGAGAGAGGGCCGCTGCCCGCACTGACACCGGCAGACCAAGGCCCACAGCTCCAGGTGCCGCTCCAGCGGGCTGCCTGTCGTTTTTACACTGTTAGTAAGTTGAAAATGTGTAAGGTAGACCTGACACCGGAGGTCAGGTGGTCACGCCCCCGTAAGAAAGGCACTACAGTCTATGCCTACATACTGAATGGAACCGTGTGCCATCACTTGAGATGGTGTGGAGAGAGGGTTAAATGCACAGCTCTCCAGAGCAGGCCCACCACAGTGTCCTGGAGCGGTAAGGAAACTTGCGAAGAGAGAAATTCTCCTAGGAGAAAGAATTGTATAGCATGCTGAGATAAGACCAGTTTTCAGCCTGCTAAGTGTTGAGAAGTCATTTTGTGTAATCATTTGGGTGAAAGTCCAACTACACTGATGTAGGAAAGGGCTGTTTCTCCTGGCTGTTCCTGGCCTGGCTTTGCCACTCACTGGGGACAGGGGCCACCGGTGTGCCTTTTCTCTGTTCCAGTTTTCCCATCCATAAACTAGGTAGGACATGCCCCAAACGGAAGCAGTGAAGATGAAGAGCTGAGCACTTTAAAAGCTAGCTGTTATGTTGCTATTATTATAGTTCTTTGGCTGCGAATCATTATAATCTTCAGTGTAGTTTATTCATTTAGAAAAGTATCTCACACCTGGCGCTGGTGGCTCACACCTGTAATCCTTGCTAATCAGGAGGCTTGAGACCTGAGGGCTGCAGTTCAAAGCCAGCCCGGGCAGAAAAGTCCCTGTGAGACATTCCAACTAACCCCCCAAAACAGAAAAAAAAGCCATCAGCTATGATGGTCTCCACATGCCAAGGGCCGCGCTCTCGCCAGCGGGTTCTTCCCTGCTGAGAAGCATCTGTGCTTGGAAGGTGGTGGGCTTGACGGCCTGTGTTCCTCACAGTGCCGGTGGCTCCTGTCACGGCAGAGAAGTCAGACGTGTCGGATTCCCTCAGCCTGCTCTCACACTGAGCTCTGCTCCCAGATTGGCATCGGCAGTACTTAGCGCCTCTCGTTTGCTTTTAGGAGTCAATCAGTGATTTCTACTGGTACTACTCAGGGAAGAGCGTCATTGATGAATCAGGGCAGCACAATTTTTCTAAAGCTCTGGCGGTCACCAAGCAGATTTTCAATTCTCTTACGGAATACATCCAGGTATGTGGTAATGCGTGTGGACCGAAAACAAAGGAACAGTTCTAAATTCCCCGCAGAGTTCCTGGCTGAACACAGTGGGCTGCGCTCAGCCCCAACGGGACCAGAAACGGGAGCCAGCCCTGCGTCGGTGGGGTTAGCTCCCAGCCCCCGCGTGGGCTGCTGGGGTGCTGTCACGCTTTGCTCACGTTCAGCTAGTTACGTCTTGCTTCCCGTCCTAGCTTCTCATAGAGAGAAGACTTCATATTCCACTTGAGTTTTTTCTCCATGTCTAGAATAATCAATGATGAAACGGAAGGGCAGTGATGCCGTCTTAGTAGAAGTTAAAAAACAGAATCTAAGGCCAGGCACTGCAGTGCGCACGTGTAACCCAGCACTGGAGGGGCTGAGGCCAGGCCATGCTTGAGCCCTCACAGCCTACTTAGGCCCCGTCTCCAGACAAACAAAGCAGCAACAAGCCTGCAGGGGAGCCCCGGGGGAGGGCTGGGCCTCCGTCTCCACCACCGTCCCCGCCCCCCCCCCCCAGCGCTCAGCCTGCTGGGAAAATGCGTAGAGGAGGTGCAGACAAGCCAGTAGCTGTGCTCTCAGGGGGACAAGATTCTGAAGGCAGAACTAACATTTGTCTTGGTACTGTCATAATCAGGAGACTCATGAATAAAATTTTCATTCATGTATTCACTGAACAAAACACTTAGCTGTACTCTCCTGTGATTAATGGAGGAAAACCAGTATATATGACCTCTATCCTTAGAAGAGCTTTTAGTGCAATCGAGAGAATACATATACATGAAGAAAACTACTTGAAAAAAGATGATCATACCTGATGTAAAATAATTACTTATGCCATGCTTACGAAGCATCCCCGTGGTGGCTGGGGGCGTGGCTGGGTGGAAAAGCACTTGCTTGGTATGCACATCATCTGAGGTTTGATCCTGGCATTGGGAGGCCAAGCAGGAAGATCGTGCGCTCTAGGCCAGTGTGGCTGTATAGTGGAACCCTGTCTCAGGAAATAAGTGTTTAAAGTTTAAAAAGAAAAAAAATGCAGGTTTGACACTTCCAAGGAAAAGAACTTGTGTATGTGCCCCGGACGGGTCTCTGTGGGACCGTGAGCCGTGAGGAGCGCAGACAAGAAGCACATAGTAGCCCTGTCTTTGGGAAAAGTGGCGACAGGATTGTCTGTGGCTTCTGAGACACGATACCAACAATGACACCAATCTGGCTAAAACAGAAGAGCCAGGAAAGTGGATAAACAGTTGATCCTTATTCTTGTACATTTTCCTTTCCTTCCAAACGAACCTTCTGTAAACTAAGAGTCTTAGGGTTTTTGGCGGCTCTTTCTATAGATTCTGTGAGCGCTAAAATCTGTTCTGTGAAAAGCATTAGGTTTTCATCTTCAATAAATGATTATGTGATGAGCCAGTTGGCTCACTCAGACTCTATTTGCTCATTAGAACAAACACTTTCTAAAAAGGAGTGTTTTGAGGGGGATTGTAAGGATGAGCACTGGAAACTAGAACAAGACTGCCCCCAGGTCTCAGGGTGACCAGATCTGAGGAGCACTGGCTGGGAGGACCCATCCTAACCCGGGTCTCCTCTGGAGCATTTAACCAAAGCTGAGAAGCTCATTCACTGTGCCTGCCAATTTCTTTTAAAGACCAGTTTTGTTCCAAAATGAATCTACTGGCTTCTAGGAGTCAGAAGCTGATGTACTTAACCGGTGATGTTAAAGCAAACTTCGGTGACCTGTGCAGCACCTTGCTTCTCGTGTCTTCCTGAGGAAGCCTGCCAGGGCTCTTTGTGGTAGGATCTGTGTCCTGTAGACATTTCTTATTAGGAAATAAGGTGGAGATTGGTTAAGGGGCGGAGTAAAAGGAAGAGGGAAGGGGCCTTGATTCAGTAGTGATTTTCAAAAATGGAAAAGTTATTCCCATGGAAAATGAAAGCTAGCAATGAAGTTATCTCTGTGCTTGGCTTTTAGAAAAGATATCTTGGGGGTGACACGAAGCTGGACAAAGGGGTATGTGCACGGGAGGCTGAGACAGGAGAATCACAGTGTGAGGCTAGCCTGGGTTACATAGGTAGACGTGTGTGTGTGTGTGTGTGTGTGTGTGTGTGTGTGTGTGTGAAGGGAGGGGGAATTACACCTGAAGTTTACATTAGTGATAAGAAAGTCCTAGAAGTGACGGAACAGCGGGGATTGCTGTGCAGATCCTGTGGTCACGGGGCGTTGCACTTCTGCGTATCTCTGCCTGCCAAGAACAGGGGCCGGGCTGCCAGGCCTGCGCTCACGGGTGCACTCAGGCTCTTCAGGTTACTTGGGAAAGGCTGGGGTGGGTGCGTCCACCACAGCCCCTAACTAGTTTGGATATTGTTCCTCGGCGTAAGACTTGATTCAGAGATCAACTTGAAGAACACCGTCTCAGAGCCCGAGCTCGATCCTCGTGCTCCATCCTGGGATTGGGAGCGGGAGGGCTAAGCGGGAAGTGTGGTGTGCACTGTGGTGTGCACGCAGCCAGGACGCCCCTCTCCCTTTCTCCACAGGGTCCGTGTGTGGGGAACCAGCAGAGCCTGGCCCACAGCCGGCTGTGGGACGCCGTGGTGGGCTTCCTCCACGTGTTCGCTAACATGCAGATGAAGCTCTCTCAGGTACTGTGGCCTGCTCACTGCGGCCCGTGGGTGGGCGCTGGCCTTAGTGCCCTGTGGATGCACCTTCAGCATCGGGCCGGGCAGCTGTGCAGACTCGCCAGGGCTGGGGCAGGAGGGGTCCCGGTGGGCTCTGCGTGAGCGTCGCTTCGTTGGGTCTCACCGCCTCAGTCCTCGCTTCCTGCCACGCTGATCCTTGCGGCTGTCTGGTGGGTCTGGAACCACTGTCCGCCAGCCCTGTCTGCGCTGTCAGACCTCGCATGCCTCCGTGATCTGGGTCCTCCCTCCCCTACTGGTTCCCATCTCCCCCTCCTCACCCTCCGTCTCTCGGGCACCATGACTTGGAGTTGCTCAGAGCATTGCGAACACACACATGTAGCGTGTGCGGCAGCACTGTCGCTCCATGAACACACACATGTAGCGTGTGCGGCAGCGCTGTCGCTCCATGAACACACACATGTAGCGTGTGCGGCAGCGCTGTCGCTCCATGAACACACACATGTAGCGTGTGCGGCAGCGCTGTCGCTCCATGAACACACACATGTAGTGTGTGCGGCAGCGCTGTCGCTCCATGAACACACACATGTAGTGTGTGCGGCAGCGCTGTCGCTCCATGAACACACACATGTAGCGTGTGCGGCAGCGCTGTCGCTCCATGAACACACACATGTAGCGTGTGCGGCAGCGATGCAGAGCATTGTGAGCACATACATGTAGCGTGTGCGGCAGCGCTGTCGCTCCATGAACACACACATGTAGCGTGTGCGGCAGCACTGTCGCTCCATGAACACACACGTAGCGTGTGCGGCAGCGATGCAGAGCATTGCGAACACACACATGTAGCATGTGCGGCAGCGATGCAGAGCATTGCGAACACACACATGTAGCGTGTGCGGCAGCACTGTCGCTCCATGAACACACACATGTAGCGTGTGTGGCAGCGCTGTCGCTCCATGCCAACACATGCAGGACCACGTCAAGCTGATGAGTACGTGCACCGCAGCACGTGAAATAATGTGTCTGTAAAATGTTCACGCGGTCACGTCTGCCTCCTCCCTGCTGGACCGTGCTGTGCAGCCTTTCCCGTTTCCCGCTTGACTCTGGCCTTGCGGGAGGGTGTGCGTGGCTTTGTGGCTCAGGGCTCCTCCCCGTGCCGCGGACGCCACTGCCCGTCTGGTTTCCCGTCCCGTCACTGTGAGATACCCCGTGGGTGGCTCTGAGGTGTCCTCTCCGCTCTGACAGTCCTCACTTCCATGGTATTTTCAAGGTAGCTTCAGCACTCAGCACAACAGGGGAAGTTCCCAGGCCAGGGCTGTGACCTTTCTGAGCATCTGTAAAGGAAGTCTGACCCCAGATTATTCTTGCAAGCATCGTTTCCTAACTTTAACTTCACCCTCAGATCAGGTCTTCTGCATGGTATAAGCACGAGCTAGCTTAGCAAGACCCTGCTGCACTGCTTAGATTAAAGCCAGACTACCACCGACTCCATCCAGAGGGCGGCCTTTGCTCTTTACCCTTGGGACACCTGCAGCACCCCGGTGACCACCGGCTGGAATTAGCATCATGTAGCCCAGAGAGAAGGGAATTTATTGGTGACTTATGGTTGCCTTAACGTGATTACAGTACTAGTCCTATAAATCTCACCAGTAAATCTCCAGTTCAGAAAATGACAACACAAGCTACTAAAGGCACTCGGACACTCTTTGGTGAAGCGGGTTGGTGGCTCGGCAGTTTCTGGACGGTGCTCAGTGTACCCGCCCGTGGCACGAGGGGGGAGGAGGGGAGGGAGCGTGCTGGACGCGTCTCCGGGTGCTCCGGAGGCGGGTGTCAGGCAGCTCCTCCCCGCGAGAAGGGAGCCCACTGCCGGCCTCAGCACGGCCCCTCTGGCCGGCCCTCCCACCCTCGCCCGCACATGTGCACCACCCCGCAGGGGTCCACTAGCTCAGGGGGTCTCCTGTTTCTGTTCTAGGATTCCAGTCAGATCGAGCTGCTGAAGGAACTCTTGGATCTCCTTCAGGACATGGTGGTGATGCTTCTGTCCCTCCTGGAAGGTTGGGCTGTTTGGTATAACCAGGCATGCACACAACTGTCATTGGTCCGAGCACTAGCCTTGCTCATCGTGCAAATTACTCTGCTGGCAAGTGGTAGATGCCATACCACCTTGGTTAAAATGCCAAAGTTTTGAAAGGAAAAATACTTAGTGAGGGGCACGTGGTCTGATGGACAAAGCCTGAAACCAATTCATTTTGTATCCATGGGAAAGCCAGAATGAACTGGGGAAAATCTCCAAGCCTTGCTCCTCCCCTCCCCTCCTTCTCCCCGCTGCTTCTGACACCTCTGGCTGCCGCTGTGTATGCAGCCGTGTAGGTGGGCGCCTCCTAGGAGTCCCATGGTGTCCGCAGTGATCTCACAATGAAACCACCCCCCGGGCCAGCATCAAGGCCCACGTGTGGCCCTCTCCCCCTCCGTCTCTTCTCCTTGGGCTCCTGGTGCCTAGACTTAGGGCCTACCACTCCAACCTCCCTATTTCCAAATCCTCATGGTCAGGACACAGCTGACTAATTTGGCACATAGACCTCTGAAAATAGCTACCCAGCCAGGTCCACGACAGCTTGGGTTTATTTGTATGTTTGTGTGTCTTTTTGAACCCGTCTCACAGGGAATGTGGTAAACGGAACCATTGGCAAGCAGATGGTTGACACCCTGGTAGAATCATCTACCAACGTAGAAATGATCCTGAAATTCTTTGACATGTTCTTGAAACTTAAGGACTTAACTGGCTCAGACGCCTTCAAAGAATACGACCCGGATGGGAAAGGGATTATCTCCAAAAGAGAATTCCAGAAGGCCATGGAAGGGCAAAAGCAGTACGCACAGTCCGAGATCGACTTTCTCCTCTCATGTGCAGAAGCTGATGAGAATGACCTGTTTAATTACGTTGACTTTGTGGACCGGTTCCATGAGCCGGCCAAGGACATAGGGTTCAATGTGGCAGTGCTGTTGACCAATCTGTCTGAACACATGCCCAATGATCCTCGCCTGAAGTGCTTGCTCGACCCCGCGGAAAGTGTGCTGAAATACTTCGAGCCCTACCTGGGGCGCATCGAGATCATGGGAGGGGCCAAGAAAATCGAGCGCGTGTATTTCGAGATCAGCGAGTCCAGCCGGACTCAGTGGGAGAAGCCTCAAGTGAAGGAATCCAAGCGGCAGTTCATCTTTGATGTCGTCAATGAAGGAGGGGAGCAAGAAAAGATGGAGCTGTTTGTGAGCTTCTGTGAGGACACAATCTTTGAGATGCAACTAGCCTCTCAGATCTCTGAATCCGACTCAGCCGACAGGCCGGAAGAGGAGGAGGAGGGGGAAGATGAAGAGTCTTCCTGTGCGTTAGGCACGGAGGGTCAGGAGGAGGAGGACGGGTCTCTGGAGTGTGCCTCGGCGTTTGCCGTGGCCTGTGCCGCGGCCAAGAGAAGCGTGGCCGCCCTGCTGAGGAGGGCCACCCTGAGGAACCTGCGGAGACAGTGCCGGAGCGTGAGGAAGATGGCGGCCCGGGAGCTGGCGCAGGCCTGCCTGGGCCTGGTCTCCGCGCTGTGCCTGGGGCTGCTCCGCGGGCTCCTCGCCCTCCTGGTGGGCCTCGCTCAGGCCCTCTGGAGCACGGTGTTCGGAGGGGGCCTGGTGGAAGGCGCGAGGAACATTCGAGTGACCAAGATCCTGGGAGACATGCCCGACCCGACCCAGTTTGGCATCCATGACGACGCCACCGAGGCCGAGCGGGCAGACGCGGGCGAGCTGCGTGCCGCCGCCGAGCCGGGCCACGCGGTGAAGGGCGGGAAGGGGGACGCAGACCTCATGCCAGACCTCTTTGGACTCCACCCAAACAAAGAAGGGCCCGCAGTGGGCTTAGGTGACCTGTCTGAAGTCATCGGCAAGGCCGAGCCGCCTACGCTGGAGAGCACCGTGCGGAGGAAGAGGAAAGCCCAGGTGAGCGCAGCGCGGGGCTGTCGCCGGGTCGCAGAGGGAGCCTTGTCCACGGGGCTGTCGCCGGGTCGCAGAGCGAGCCTTGCCCACGCTGTACCGACACAGGCCCGCTGTCAACGCCTGATCCTCACCCAGCTCTGGTGTCTTCAGGGGTTCTCACTAGGGTCTCCTCCGGTTTACCCGGGAGAGCGCCAGCGTGACCGGCCTGCTCCAGTCTTTCATTAGAAGGTAGCTTTCATGACGCATGGGTTGATGCTGTGAACTGAATGCACCAGAAGCCAAGTGCGATGCAAGAGATGTTTCTGTGAGACGATGTTCTTGAAGGTTTTGCTGACCTTGTGTGGCTCCCTGGATCCGTGGAGCCATTAGCCAGACAAAGTGAATAAGCAGCCACTCACACCTGTTGTGTGTCGGAGGATCTGAGTGGTTTCCTCTCTTGTAGCATTTGTGTCATTGTCGCAGCCAAGAAAGTAGAGAAGCAGGGAGAAATTAGAGCCCATTTCCACTCTCCATTAGGTCAGTATGCTAGGAAGGAGAGGTGCCAGGTAAGAGAGGCAGGAAAGAACGTCTACCTGGTACGGAGGGAGACCCCCAGACATCCCTTTCACAGCGCTCCATCTGTCCTGCTGGCTCTACCCTGGTGGAGCCCCCGCTTTAGTCAGCCTGATACAGGTAGAGACCTATCCGGGGACTCCCTGTGCCAGGACATGGTGAACCGGGGAGGCCGTGGTTTTGTTCTGAGCCCCCAGTGGGAAAAGGCCAGTGCCACCATGATAACTGATCAAGCTGCTGTGGTGGACGTGGCTTCCTGCAGACAGACAGCCGTGTTGTTCCTGGAAAGCCAAACCCTGAAGGCTGACAGGCACATGGGAGCCCGCTGTGAAGCTCCAGGTAGAGGAAGTGACCAGTGCAAAGGCCCTGCTGTACAAAGGACTTAGAATTGAAAGCAATTAAGTACTAAGAGCTGAAGATGGAGAGAAGGCTGGGGTCCTGTAGGGAGTGCAGGCTTCATTCTTGAGTACAGGGCTGTTGGCCAGAGGACTGAAGACAAGCTGGAGCTGTCAGTGAAAACGGCTCTGTGTGTCTGTGCCAGGTCTCTTACCCCACAGGGCCACAGGCCTCGGACAGGACTCTCTCATGGTCTGAGACCACGTTTCCTGCTTATGTAGAATAACGGAGCCGTTGGGTTTCTCCAGTGTGAGAGCTTTGTCACGGCATGTCCAGACAGCCTGATGCGCGGCAGGACCCTCAGACCTGCGGTCCTGAGAGGCCGGAACGCCAAGAGCAAGGGAGCTGGGCCCAGCGGCCGTGAGGACCGCGCGCGGCGGCCCGGCCGCTGGGATGCACACTGGCACTGACGCTCTGACTGTTGTTTCTGTCCAGGCAGCGGCGGTGAGAGCGGCACAGGAGGCAGACGTTAATGCGGAGTCTGAGAAGGCGGAGTAAGTGCGTGTAGCCTGGCAAACAGAAAGCTTCACTGTTGTTAATAAGAGCAGCAGACGCTGCAAGCCCTGGGCCCACGTGTTTTCCCCTCAGTTCTGTGATGCACACATTCTGTGTATCTTAACATTTTGGGGTGGGGTTCCTAACCTTGAAACTAGTGCTCACTAGGCTGCTTCTCCACCACGGGAGGCATGCCTCCAGCCTTCTTTTCTGATTGGTTTTAAGATAGTGTCTTCCCTGTCTGAACTGGCCTTGAACCACCATCCTTCTGTTTCCTGAGTGGCTAAGGGTTACAGGTGTGAGCCACTAGGGCCCCACGTTGAATTACTAACTTTATAATCCCAGCAGTATATGAAGCATGTGAAGTTATAACTCTATAATCCCAGCAGTGTATTCACTGTTGGGACAAGTGAGTCATCAGGCATGTAGGCCCTGTGAAGTGGCACATGCATGCTGTCCAGCTACGCAGGAGTCAGGGGTGTCACAGCTCAAGGCCAGCCTGAGCAAGAAGAAAAATCACACTGCCACCGATAATCCAGACACAGGAGACACGCTTGCCCACCCAGCCTCGTGAGAGGTTTAAATACCGAGATTGTGGCCCACGCTAGCCCAGAAAATGCAAGGCCCTATCCCAAAAGTAACTAAAACAAAAAGGGGTGAGGGTGTGGCTCTGGGGGCAGAGCATCCGCCTACAAACGACACAGCTCTTCAGTTCAAACCCTAGTCCCACCCAAAAAAGGAATAGTGAGCAGTTTTAGATAACACTGGTAATATCTACTCTGTATTGAATACTCATCATATATCAGGCCCGTACAATATCTCATTTAATTCCTGCCACAATTTAGAAGAGTAGATGCTATTGCTAACTCTCAGGAAGATGAGAAAAGGAACAACATTTCTGAAGAGGAAGAGAAAACTTGTTAAGCCCACTTTCGGAGGCGGAGTATAAACTCGCAGGTCAGCACCGGCCATCAAACACAACAGCTGTCCTGAAGTTTACACCAGAGTCCAGCCGCTGTGGTCTCCGCCCTTGGGGACCAAGCGCCTCCTGCTTCACCTCCTACCACTTTCCTCTCCTTCTGAGTGGGTTTCTCGTCCCCACAGCATGGAAGACCGAGAAAAGGAGGACGAAGCCAAAGAGGAGGGCCAGGCTGAGGTCCTGCGGACAGCTGTCGCCAAGAGGAAGCAGCGCCGGCGGGGCCAGAGGGCGGAGAAGCCTGAGGCCTTCATGGCCAACTTCTTTAAAGGCCTGGACACCTACCAGACCAAGCTGCTGGTGAGCGCCCGCCCAGCCCCTCCCCACGCGGCCTGGGCAGACCTGAGGGCTGGCTGCTGGTGTCTGTTGTTGGTTGGTCATCTTCCTCATTCAGTGTCTTCTCTCCCATCTGCCTGCTCCTCCTGCAGCCCTGCCCCTCTGCCCACAGTCCCACTGTGTCCCTTCCAGGGCAGCGGAGACACCTCCTTCTAACCAGCCCCACGTGTGATTGTGGGGAACGCGGGGTGGGGGGTGGGGCCTCAGCAGGCCCTGGTCCAAAAGTCCAGAAGCAGCCTGGTCACTCAAGACACAGAAGCCCCTGAGGTTGGGCTGTTCCCACACTGGTGCTCAAAGCAGTGCTGTGCACGAGCCAAACCTCCACACCTGCTCCTCTGGCCAGGACCCCTTCCCTGGCACCTTTTTGGGAGACTGGAACCTTCCCCAGCAGCCACTCCCGTTCTCAGGTGCAGGTGATGAGATGGGGAATAGCACAGGAGACTCCAAAGTGGGGCTGTGACCTACAAAGGGACGGGTCGGCTGCTTTCGGCCGTGCCGGGGGAGGGGATGTGGAGATCTTTTGTGGGTCTAGATTACTCACAATTTCCAAGCAAGAGTTCTTCCAAGCAGAGCGATCATGAAAAAGTACCGCACAGTCGCTTGCGTGGTGGCGCTGTGTTTGGGCATCTGGTTCCTTTAGGGACAGTTGTGGGCAGGGGCAGAGTTCTAAGCAGCATTTAGAAATCACCATTTCTGGTCCCTTGCGCCCTGCGTTTGTGTCTGCCTTGGAGGGGCGTGGAAGGGCAGGTCCCGGGGTAACCTAGCCAGAGCAGAGCTCGACCGCAGGGAGAGGTGCTCCATCCTCCCCCCAGCCTCTCTCTGCACCCTTTCCTTTGCAGCATTATCTGGCCAGGAATTTCTACAACCTGAGGCTCCTTGCCCTGTTTGTGGCCTTCGCTATCAACTTCATCCTGCTTTTCTATAAGGTGACACTGCACTCAGGGGTTGCTTGCAATGTGGCTGTATGCCAAGCCTGTCATGTATGGGAAACGCGTTAACAGAACTTAATTACAGCCAAAATTCTAATACGGAAGGTAGTGTCTAAGGCATTCGACAGTAATGTTTAATATTGCCCGAGACAGTGATGTTCAAAGGCATAACGAGTATACAACCTCTAGCTATGGCTGGCAGGGGAGGCAAGTTAGATAATACTTCAACAGCAGAAGCTTGAGTTGTTACAGAATTCAGTCTTCAAATATTCATTGTGAACCTACGATGTGCTAGGCCCTACATGAGGAACTGTATTGCAAATACAGTTCTCTTCCTGAGAGTCATTATAGTGAGCTCATACATGTGAACTATTTTCCTTTTTTTGTTTGTTGGTCGTGGGGCTTGAACTCTGGGCCTACGCACTGTCCCTCAGCGCTTCAGTTCAAGGCCAGAACTCTACCACTTGTGCCACAGTGCCACTTCCATATATGTGAACTATTATGAAGAAAATTAACAGGCGTTGCGAAGATAAAGGCTTTGAACATTGGCAAATGAATCTTGCATTCTATAGGGATGTAATAATTGTTTATTTTCATTTAAGGAGTTGGCATTTAACAAAACGGTTTATGAATACAATGCGCCCCTTTTAACATTCGCACCCTTCCTTCCCTCCCTCTTCTCCTCTTTGGAATGAGGTAAAGGTCTTAGGTGTGAGACAGTGAATATGATCAAAGTATATTGTGCACCCACATGAAAATGTCACAGAGAAGCCAGGTGTGGCACACATTTGTAATACCAGCGACAACGGAGGCTTTTGAGTTCAAGCCTAGCCCAAGTTATATGGCAAGACCTGCTTCCAAAGAAAAAGGTCATCATGAAACCCATTGTTTTGTACACTATATGCTACAAAGAGTAGACTCGACATAACTTGTCACTGGCTTTTCTGTATCTGATCTCTTTCCTTTCCTACTTAAACCAACAATCTAATTTTTATAAAGCGTTCTTACCCACACCAACCTTCCCCTTGATGAAACGATGGTTTTCTGTTGTCCAGAGAAGACAAATGGAAGGTCTCACTCAACATGTTGCTAGTATTTGCATGATGCATACTCAGTGGGCCGCGGCTCCTTGTGCTGTGTTGAAGTGTGTGTCTTGGATCAGGTCACTGAAGAACCTTTAGAAGAGACAGAGGACGTGGCGAACCTGTGGAATTCCTTTAATGAGGAGGATGAGGAAGAAGCCGTGGTGTTCTTTGTCCTGCAGGAGAGTACCGGCTACATGGCGCCGGCCCTGGGAGCTCTGGCCGTGGTCCACACCGTCATCTCCCTCGTCTGTGTGGTGGGATATTACTGCCTGAAGGTGAGCGGCCCTGTGCTCACCACTCAGAGCCAGTCTGAGTCCTGGAGAGCAAAGTGTCTTCTTTAGCTTAGCCAGCCCCTCGTTCTCGAGCTCAGACTTGCGGTGTCATGGCTCTGGCATTACCTGGGCACCAGCCGAGCCTCGAGCCAGAATGGGCCAGATGCAGGTGTGAGACTCCTTCTGCACACATCCCCATTCAGACGGATGGCGTTACTGTCATCGGGCAGAATGAGAGATGAAGCTATTTGAGCTTCTTCTCTGATCTTTGAAATTTTAGAATTTCTTAGAACCATTCAAGATGAGAAGAAGCCCCGCCTACGTATAACAGCCAATTTATCATTGTGGGACACATCGCCCCACCCTAGTGCTTTCAAGGCCGCTCATTTTGTCTGATTCTGTGGAACACATGGCCCTGCAGGCAGTTCTGCTGGGTCTGAAGCCATCTGGGAGGTCACAACCCTGTCCACACACGCTGTTGGCCTGCCGGTAAAGTTGGGTGTCCATAGTTCTCCCACTCTCTGAGTGACTGCTGTCTCCCCACGTGAAGGTGCCTTTGGTGGTATTCAAAAGGGAGAAGGAGATTGCCCGGAAGCTGGAGTTTGACGGCCTGTACATCACTGAGCAGCCGTCGGAGGAGGACATCAAGGGCCAGTGGGACCGCCTGGTGGTCAACACGCCGTAAGTGCTGTCCGGGGCCCCGGAACAAGAAAAGCCTTCCTGTGTCCAGCCCCCCTCCCTGGCCTTTCCAGTACAGGCAGCCTACTACCTCTCAAACCGCGATACACTCTGTGCATGTGCTAGAGGTTTAAAATAGGGCCATACTCTACCATAATCGAGATACTGAACATATTTGGTTCGTACCAGAGAGTCCAGGTGGCATTATCTAAACTAGGTCTCCGTGCCTGAGTTATATGGAGTGTTTCTAGGACGTCACTTAGCCAAATCTAGACATTCAGCCGAGCAGCTTCTCCAGAGCCCTCTGCATCACAATAGTCCCGTGACGCCCTTCTCTGAAGTCTTTTTTTTTTTTTGGGTCCGGTCGTGGGGCCTGAACTCTGGGCCTGGGTGCTGTCCCTCAGCTCTTCAGCTCAAGGCTAGTGCTCTACCACTTGAGCCACAGCGCCACTTCTGGCTTTTTTCTTTTTGCTTATGTGGTGCTGAGGAATTGAACCCAGGGCCTTGAGTATGCAAGGCAAGCGCTCTACCACTGAGCCACCTTCCCAGCCCTGAACTCTTTTCCTTAAGCAAGCGGCCTTTGGCCCTGCATGGTACTGAGCGGCAGTTGACCTGACAGGACCTGGTCAGTGCTGCAACTTTTAAAGGACTCTCAAAAAGCTCATGTCCTGGCGCACCTGCCTAACAAAGAACATACTGTATGTGTCCTATCTTCAAGGTGGTTTGACCCCAGCTCTAGTCGGGACAGGAATGCAACGTACGGAGCTCAGGGTACGAGGCTGCCCCGAAGGGGCCTCCTGCAGTGCTGCGGTCAGCACCCTGCAGCATCGCGGTAGCTAGACGCTCACGCTTAGGACAAAGCCTGACCGGGTCTGAGGCGAATGCTGTGGAGATCTCACTTGAGTAAGAAAAAAGAGCTCAGGAGGCTTGGCTTGATTTGTTTTTAAATCCTGAATGTAAGGAATAATCCTAGCTACCCAGGAGGCTGATATCTGAGGGTCGTGGTTCAAAGCCAGCCCGGGCAGGAACATCTGTGAGACAAGAATCTCCAATTAACCATCAGAAAACCAGGAGTGGTGCTGTGGCTCAAGTGGTAGAGCGCTCGCCTTGAGCTGAAGAGCTGAGGGACAGCGCCCAGGCCCAGAGTTCAAGTCCTACAACCAACCAAAAAAAAAAAAAAAAAGACTTGCTGTAAGTAATGTGCGCAGCTCCTTCTGGATTTTGTCTGGTGCACACTGGAACAGGGTACAGTCAACCAGAGGAATTGTGTTATTTACAGAAAAATGTTAAATCATAGTAAGTGAAATAAGCCAGACTCAGAGAAACATTGCCTATTTTCTCTCATATGAGCAGCCTCGACCTAAAAACAAATTGGACTTGAGGTTAGGGAGACTGCAGGGAGGGGACAGGAGAAGGCGACGGGAGTGTGCGATGATCCGAATATTGTTGACATGGATGAATCGCCAATGTCTGTAAAGCAATTAAAAAAATGAAACATACTGGACTTCAGCAGTGTGCCTGGCAGGCCAGGAAGAGAGATTCGGAGAGGGTTTCTGTCTGTCTGCCATCACACACACACAGTGCCTGGTTCTGAATCGTAAGCTTGAGAGCAAATGTTGGCTTCCCAGGCAGGGTGTGGAGACTGAACTCAGGCTGGAGCCCTTCAGAGAGGACAGACGCTCGAGTCGGTTGGTTTCTTGCTGTGTTGCCCTGATGTTCAGAATGAAGAAGCAATTCTTTTTTTCCCTTTGCAGATCTTTCCCTAATAACTACTGGGACAAGTTTGTGAAGAGAAAGGTAAATCCACAGTCGCAGGAGCTGTGATGCACGCTTGAGTTCTCCACGCACAAACACGTGTGATGTGTCAAGGTGGTGCCCTGAGAGGCCACAGAACTCGCCAGTGGCCAGCCCTTTCTCCTACTCCTGTCTTAGAACCCTTTGCCTTAGCCCTCCCTCTCCTGAGCATTAAACTTTTCCTCTCCTCCAAAAAGAGACCAGCTTGAAAGCAGGTTTTTACATACTTGCCCTCGTCACTTCATTTTCTCAGGGTTATTTTCTGTCTTCTGCAGCATGTGTTAACTGCCCCCCCCCCCCGTCTCCCACAAAGCCCGGGGGCAGCGGCGTCCCAGGGTTGGGAAGCTGTGGCATATGGCCCCAGCCCACCCTGTTGTCTCTTCGCTCTAGGTGATCAACAAGTATGGAGACCTCTATGGAGCAGAGCGAATTGCTGAACTCCTGGGTCTGGACAAAAACACCCTGGACTTCAGCCCAATGGAGGAGACCACAGCAGAGGCAGCATCTTTGGTCTCATGGTATACAGCTTAGGAGACCGGTCCCATGCAGCTAACTTAGGGCCATCATGTTTCCATTCCTCTCTACCTGCAGGGAAAAGTTGCAAGTGTGTCTGTATTCTCAGGCTCTGTTCCGGAACCAATGTCTTGCCCAGGTCCTGACGTCCTGGGAGAGGAAGGCTTTTAAGAATTTGAAGGCCAGTTTTTATGCTCAAAAGAGCTGAGAGAGACTAACATTTCCAAATGTGTGACTCAACCACTCTGTCTCTCTGGAGTACCTGAATAACTTGATAAGGTTCAGAGCTGTATTTAGGTTATTAAGCCTGTGAGAGAAACTTAATTTCTCTCTAATTAAGCACAACAAAATCTTGACCTTTACAAGTTATGAAATTATTTGTTCCCTCTTTAGGCTAAGTTCCATTGACATGAAGTACCACATCTGGAAACTGGGGGTAGTTTTTACTGACAATGTAAGTACTGTACTTGGAAAAACAAGATTCTTTTCTCTGGGGTTTGGGGTTGTTGTAGGGGACAAGCATTGAGGATGCCCAGGGGCTCGGCTGAGCCACAGGGTGCATGGAGCCCTTCCCCCTGAAGACAGACTTCCTTGGGGGCCCAGGGTGCAGGCTAGCGGCCCAGCCGGGGAAGCCCAGGGTGCAGGCTAGCGGCCCAGCCGGGGAAGCACTCTTCCCGTGGCAGGCTAGCGGCCCAGCCGGGGAAGCACTCTTCCCGTGGCAGGCTAGCGGCCCAGCCGGGGAAGCACTCTTCCCGTGGCAGGCTAGCGGCCCAGCCGGGGAAGCACTCTTCCCGTGGCAGGCTAGCGGCCCAGCTGGGAAGCACTCTTCCCGTGGCAGGCTAGCGGCCCAGCTGGGAAGCACTCTTCCTGTGGCAGGCTAGCGGCCCAGCCGGGGAAGCACTCTTCCCGTGGCTGCAGGCCTTGGGTGGCTCCCAGCGCCTCAGCACCTCCATCCCCTCAAATGAGGAATGATGGCAAGTGAGCACATCCTACGCACGAATGTCCACAATGTTGCTAACTCTCTTCCATTTCTAGTCCTTTCTGTACCTTGCCTGGTATACAACCATGTCGGTCCTGGGCCACTACAACAACTTCTTCTTCGCTGCTCATCTGCTAGATATTGCCATGGGCTTCAAGACATTAAGGACGATCCTTTCATCTGTAACTCACAATGGCAAACAGGTACCGGGCTGACGTTGGCTGGGAGCAGAATTGTAGGAAATGAGAGGTAGTGGATGTCGGGAACCGGTACGCTGTAGTGTACCAAATAGGTTTCTTGGACAAACACTTGAACCAAGAGCAACTGTTTCTGCAGACTTGTCACTAGTTCCAGATATACCTAGAGTTGTGACGTAAGAGGCCTAAAACCTAAATTCAGACCTTAACATTCAGGAGAGCTGGGGGAGAAGGGAAGTGGAGAGCCAGTCAGCCTGCGCTTACTCCATGGCTCTGAACTGCTGTGGCAGTCGGGGAGTGGAAGGGAATGCTTAGAAGATTCCCAGGTCATCCTGACAACTAATAAAGCAGGACACTGCTGGCACGCTGGTCATCCTAGCTACTCAGGAAGAGGCTGAGATCTGAGGATCTCAGTTCGAAGACAGCCCAGGCAGAAAAGTCTAGGAGATTCTCATCTCCAGGCAACTAACCAAAAGCCAGAAGTGACAGTGGTAGAGCACCAGCTTTGAGTGAAAAAGTCCAGTGAATGTATAAGGCTCTGAATGTAAGGAATGCTGCAGGAAAAACAACTGGGTGGAGATATATAGTTACTACACGTAATGTATCCATAGTGTAAAAACCACATACAGTAAGCATGTATCACAAGTTGATTCTGGCCTTGTGTGAAGCCTGGATGTTGATGAGCTGGAGGTAGCGATGACCTCGGCCATATTAAAACCGTCTACGAGCTAGTCTACGAACTCAAGCTGCTTACCATTTCATTTCTCATTAGGCACGGTTAATTACGCACGAGGCACATTCCCTCACCGCTCTAGGCCTTTGGTGGGAGGGGAAGAAGGCCGCAGACGCACCAAGCTCATGCCAAGCCTCCCCACTCCCCTGTAAGGCATTCAGCTGCTATGCGGAGGAGGAAACTGAGGCTCAGAGAGGCCGTGCCCCGGCCGCACCGCAGAGGCGCGGCGAGGCTGCCCGCGGCCGCACCGCAGAGGCGCAGCGAGGCTGCCCCCGCAGGTCCCAGCCACGGCTGGGTGGCAGAGGCCGCCCTCAGCCCTTTGCTCTTCTTCCTAAGCCACTGCCATGAGCTCTGCCCCCCAGGGTTTGAGTAGCGACTCACCCCGGACGCTGCTCTTCCCAGCAGTCAGCCCAGCACCTTCTCATCTTCGTGCTGCTGACCCGCACCTGCTGCCTCAGCAGGCCAATGTACAGACCCCCGCGCGCCTCGTGCAGATGCCGAGCCTGTAATCCAGAGGCCCAGACGCCTCTGCATGGAGTTTGTCCGCAGGGCCTCTACATGATGCCAGCCCTCCAAAAGGCTCTAGCCCAGAGCTGGGCATGTGGCTCCGGGCAGAGTGCTTTTCCCTAGCATGCGGAGGCCCTGGGTTCCATCTCCCCAATACAGCTTGCAAAGCTCTGGCTCTGTTCTGTCCGTGGGTTACTGGTTAGGGATCCGCCTATGAACTGCAGGAAGGAGGAAGTTCAGCCTGCAGCCTCCCTCCCTCACCTGCAGTGACTCCCTCACCCCCTTCCCCTTCCCTGCTCTGTGTGGAGACCCCTGTGAACCGCTGGAGGTTAACACACACCCTTTCTTTACCTCTGCCCCACAGTTGGTTCTTACAGTTGGCCTCCTGGCTGTGGTGGTTTATCTCTACACCGTGGTGGCTTTTAACTTCTTCCGCAAGTTCTACAACAAAAGTGAGGATGATGATGAGCCTGACATGAAGTGTGATGACATGATGACGGTGAGTCAGCCACTGCCAGCCCCAACCACATCCACCAGAGAGAGCGAGGAGACACACAGCCCCGACCACATCCACCAGAGAGAGCGGGGAGACAGACAGGGTTTCTGTGGAGGCTGGGAGGGAAGGAAGCACCCAGAGGAGGTCACCTGTCATGAGGCCCAACTACATTTTCATACAAGTGTAGCTTTGATTCACCTGATTCACTTCAGCCAGCCAGTGGGTTCTCAGAGCACACAGGGCTGCAGCCGGGCCTCAGGGAGTGGAGCTGGGTGGGTGCGGTCAGGCCCAGGGCGCCCTGCAGCAGCACCCCTCAACTCTATCAGGACCTGACCTCAGGAGGAGGTAGGCCAGGAATGAGTTCTCTCCAGCCTTCCAGGAGACAGCAGGGACTAGGGCCTGGCTCGGGGCTTCCCCGCAGCCCTGCCGCTCGGTGAGAAGGCAGTGCCCTCCTGCTGACCCTAAGCCCCAAGCCGGCACTGACCACTGCTGACCCTGAGCCCCAAGCCGGCACTGACCACTGCTGACCCTGAGCCCCAAGCCGGCACTGACCACTGCTGACCCTGAGCCCCAAGCCGGCACTGACCACTGCTGACCCTGAGCCCCAAGCCGGCACTGACCACTGCTGACCCTGAGCCCCAAGCCGGCACTGACCACTGCTGACCCTGAGCCCCAAGCCGGCACTGACCACTGCTGACCCTGAGCCCCAAGCCGGCACTGACCACTGCTGGAGAACGTATGCTAGATGCACTGTCCCCAGTTACTTTGAATCCCACTGTTTCCGAGTTGGAGTGGCTTCGCGGGCCTGACGAGGCTTCCGAGTTGGAGTGGCTTCGCGGGCCTGACGAGGCTTCTTGGGAACGAGGAGTCTGACACGATCCCCTTTCGGCGCACCGTCTGCCCGCGATCTTCGGCAGCACTGCCAGTCCACTCACTGCTCTGTGACTGCATCCGTGTGGAGTTCTCACGGGTGGCAGTGTGGTGTCGGCACTGAGGGATCTCAGACGTGGGAGCATTCTGGATGCTCCCCAGGAGTCTGAGTGGAAGCCCTGCCGTGTACACAGGGAATGCGTGAGTGGACAGAGCTCTGCCTCAGTTTACAGCACAGCCTGAAAAGCAGGCCAGCACTCTTGGAATTAGAAAAGGCAGGGTCTGGCACGTGCCATCTCCGCTAGGCCTAACGCGCTCTTAATGACTAGAGACCTACCATGAACAATTTTTAACCATAATCTTCCTGTCTTCGTAGACCTCAAACTAAGCAGAGAAGCAGAGGTCAGCGATTGATGTGGACACTGCTGCCCGCAGGCCCGGGCTCCGGGGTCAGAGCCCCTGAGGAGTCTGACCGTGGTGCTGCACACACGTGACCCTCACTCGCTGTGTTTCCCCCCAGTGTTACCTTTTCCACATGTACGTGGGAGTGCGAGCAGGGGGCGGCATCGGCGATGAAATCGAAGACCCCGCTGGCGACCCTTATGAAATGTACCGCATTATCTTCGACATTACCTTTTTCTTCTTTGTCATTGTCATCTTGCTGGCCATCATTCAAGGTATGGCTGCCAATTAAGTACGCTCTTCTGTGCCTGTGGCCCAACTGTTCCACAGACAAGTTTGTGAGGTCACTTACTCGCTATTTTGGAAAACATTTATTGAGCATCTACTGTTGCACAAAGCCACGTGGACCCAGACATGGGTATGGGAAGCCTGAGAACCCACACGGCCGCTTCCTTCCACCTCGACTTGGACCGGTCACCTCGCGGGCCTCGGAGCCCTTCCTGTCTTGGTCTCCCAGGCAGTGGGGAGAATAGGAGAATGTGATGTGTTTTCTAATGTTTTGGGGGAGAGGCCAGGAAATGGAGACAGATGATGAGCTTTGACGCAGTCACCTTGGGTTGAGATGCCCTGAAGACAGGAGAGTGTTGAGGGCTAAGAAGCAAAAACCGGAGGAAGAGCCTGGGCACAGGGAAGCCTGAGGGGGTCAGGAGACGAGGAAGAGCCTATGTATCGCAGGGACTGACGACAAACAGCTGAGCAGCACAGGAGGGGGGCTGAGTGGAGGCCGGTCGTGCACTGGAGTGAGCAGGAGGAGCCGAGTCAGGAGTCAGTACTAGAGGATACAAACCCCCCCCCCCATTGTTTTTTTTTTTTTGTCAGTTGTGGGGCGTGAACTCTGGGCCTGGGCGCTGTCCCTCAGCTCTTCAGCTCAAGGCGAGCGCTCTGCTGCTTGAGTCACAGCACCACTTCCAGTTTTCTAGTGGATCACTGGAGATAAGAGTCTCACGGACTTTCCTGCCCAGGCTGGCTTTGAACCCTGATCCTCAGATCTCAGTCTCCTGAGTAGTTAGGAAGACAGGTGTGAGCCACTGGTGCCTGGCTCAGAGGCTCTTTGTGCTTACCTAATTCTGCTTTACAGTGGGCCAGTCAGGCAGTTCCTCTACCCAGGGACCACTGAGCCCATTACGGTGCTTTATCTGTGCTTGCAATCTCAGGTCTCATCATCGACGCGTTTGGAGAGCTGAGAGACCAGCAGGAACAAGTTCGCGAAGACATGGAGGTAAAGTTCCCTGCTCAGTCTAATACCACGGCTATCTGGACTTCCTAAACAGTACACATGGCTACAAACAGGACACCAGCTAGAAAACTACGGAAGTCTTTGCTTTCTGTGCATGCCACCTCGCCTTTCCTGACCAAGTTTGGGTCCTGCTGCCCTGCACCTGCTCAGGCCTGCCCGGCAGCTGCCTCCTTCCGGTGCCCTCCCAAGGCCGGGAGTGAGGTGCCTCTGGAATGACACTTGTCTCACCCCTAGTGCATAGACCGGCATCCTTTTCCTCCTGCCGCGCTGGTATGGCTAATTCCTTTCCTACTTCTCATTTTTCATAGACTAAATGTTTCATCTGTGGCATTGGCAATGACTACTTTGATACGACTCCTCATGGTTTTGAAACACACACATTACAAGAGCACAACCTAGCCAACTACTTGTGAGTGTTCTGGTTACCAAAGGTGGGGGGGGGTCTGGGTGGCGTCTTCACCTCCTCTTTCAGCTCTGTGACCCATCTATAAAAGGCCCTTCTCCCCAGGTGGCCATGACAAGGGTCTGCCCGCGTGCTGCTGAACTGGCCTCAGACCACCTCCTGCCGGAGCAGGGTCCTAGGTACCATCCGGGGATATTTCTGGATGTATTTTCACACTGCGTTGTTGAAGCAGCAGTGTGGCCGCTGGTAGATAAACAGCAAATATTTCGTCTTTTTAGGGGAAGCATTTGTGCAGGAAGTTTTCTGAGCCTGTCCTGTACTCTGAGCTTCCTGTGGAACTTATGGAATTTACAGGATATGTGGGTATATGCTCTGCTCTTTAGTATTAAGTTGGTGTCATCAAAGAAAAGTGGCCAGGCTGGGTGTTTCTGCTAGATTCAGACCACTTCCAATGGTGTCTGTAACATTCTCTTAAGCCAGGAGTGTTCACCACCATTACTTCTCGTCAGTCCAGGGAGTAGCCGCCGGCCCTCAGGAGGGACGGGTGTGTCGTGTGCCAGTGCCTGGGCGCCTGTCCTCTGGGTTGGGACCTCCCTTAGCAGCCAGCTTGTGACAGAACCCTGTGACTCACACTTGACCTTCCTGGTGATTATGTAAAAGGCAGGCCAGGAGAGGAATTGATGTTCTGCTGACTTAGGACAAATATGATCAAGATTCTGGTCCTGCCTTCTTTCTCATTCTTGAACTAGAGGGGGAGACTAATATACGTAGAGCCGTGGTGGGCCTGGAGAGCCCAGGCTGTCTCTTCCTGGCCACGCAGTCTTCCCCTGAAGGGCACACCACCACCTCCTCAGGAAGCAGTCTGTGCAGTGTGAGCTGTGAACGTGGCCCCCGGTACACCTGTGTCACAGGCAGACTCCCACAAAACCACACCTTCACTTCCCTGTCCTCTAAAACAAAATGTTCTATTTCTGGAAGAATAAGAGTGACCTAATGAGATTAAAAAAGCTCATTACTTTTTTGAGTTACTGTTCATTCCAAGAAGGGTCGGTCTGGTTTACCCACAGCCAGACTCTGGTTTTGAAACAGACACATCTAGTAGAAATGCTCCCCTGTTCTTAAGGGTATCATACGGTTTTTGAACCTTGTTTCAGTTCATCTGAGAAGTATCTACTACGATTTTTTTCCCTCTTTGTTGCAGGTTCTTTCTGATGTATTTAATTAATAAGGATGAAACAGAGCACACGGGTCAGGTAAGGAAAAAAAAACGCCTTAACTGGAAAACACAGACGTGTCACATTCTGTGGTTGTTAGTGTGAAACTAAGCAGTGCACGTAACACCTGAGAGGAAAGAGGATGGAGGGGAGATGACAGTGGAGGAGAGGGGGGAGGGAAGCAGAGAAGGGGGCTGTAGCCCGACAAGAGGACCGGGAAGGGAGAGAGACAGGTGAGAGGAGAGGACACTACATCGTTGAAAAGAAGGAGGAGAGATGCAGAGTTGGGATTAGAAGAGACCTCAGCAGAGGGAGACGAGACATGAGTCAGGGAGAAGAGAGCCTCAGCAGAGGGAGACGAGTCAGGGAGAAGAGAGCCTCAGCAGAGGGAGACGAGTCAGGGAGAAGAGACCTTAGCAGAGGGAGGCGAGGGACGAGTCAGGGTCAAGGGAGGCGGGTGTCCAGAAGAGAGAGCAAGGAGAGCAGAGTGAAGGCGTTGGACTGGGGAGTGTGCAGAGGAAGGAGGGAGGGAACAGCAGACCGGGAGAGGGTACGACTGTGGAGGAGTATTGAAGAGAGCTGAGGGGAGATGAGGAACAGGAGAAGGTGAAGAGAGGAATGGGGAGAGAAGACAGACAAGAGGAGAAGACGAAGAGGAAAGAGGGTAGAGAGTGGAGGAATGTGAGTGGTGAGAGATTGAAGAGGGTAAGGAGAGAAGGATGAGAAGAAGACTGTCCAAAAGAGTAGAAGGGAGGTGAGGCAGAGGTGGTAAGGGGAAGATCAGACCCTGCAGAGGGAAGGGGTGAGGAGAGAATGGAGTGGAGAGAGGGCGCAGTAGACACAGACCACATAGGACTGGGAGGAGAGAATACAGGAGAAGGCAAAGAGGAAAAGGCCAAGAGAGGTGAGGCAAGAGGAGAGGGTGGAGGTGAGGCGACTGTGCCCAAGGAAGGGGAGTTGACAGGAGATGGAGGAGCGGCACACTCAGAGGAGACAGGAGATGGAGGAGCGGCACACTCAGAGGAGACAGGAGATGGAGGAGCGGCACACTCAGAGGAGACAGGAGATGGAGGAGCGGCACACTCAGAGGAGACAGGAGATGGAGGAGCGGCACACTCAGAGGAGACAGGACAGTGGAGTTTGAAGGGGGGGGCGCGGGATTGCGTGGCAGCAGCCGGGGAGAAGAGGGGAGGTGAACACACACCACCGAGGGAGAGGAGGCTGAGAGAGAAGAGGAAGGAGATTGTGAAGTGGAGGGAATGGCAAGGTGTGGGAGAGGAGAGGGAAGGTGAAGAGACAGGATGGCGTGGGAGGAGATGATGGAGCTGGTGAGGAGAGGAAATTGGGAAAGCAGGAGCTGGAGAGGTGAGGAATGGTAGGAGACAGAGGAGAAGGAGGAGGGGAGAGCAGGGAGTCTAAAGCGGCCACACGGGAGAGGGAAGGCGTGTGTGGAGGGGAGGTTAGTGAGAAGAAAGGCAAAGGCTGAGGTAAGTGGGGGAGAGGAGGAGAGCAGAAAATGCGTGGTGGCCTCCATACGAAAGGTCACATCTCTTTCCTTCCTAAGCAGAGCCACATCCAGCAAAAACAAGCTGGCTAGCTTACCGGCTGTGCTCACACTGTTTTCAGGAGTCGTACGTGTGGAAGATGTACCAGGAGAGGTGCTGGGACTTCTTTCCAGCTGGCGACTGCTTTCGTAAGCAATACGAAGACCAGCTTGCGTAGAAGGGGATGAAGGCAGCACGGCGGCACTGCACAGCCCCTCCAGGAAAATGGAACCCTCCCCGCACCGCTGCCCAGCGCATCCACGTGTGACCCTTCCAAGCCTCACAACAAAGTGTGTGTTCACAATCCATGACAGTGCAAAAGACATAGCCTGTGTGCAATAACCTGTCGAGGCGTTGAAGGAAAATGTGAGCGATTGCTACCTGAAGGCCTTCAAGGTTTTCAGTTCTCGTGAGACTAGCCTGTTAGGACTGCAGTGTGGAGGAAAGGGCCAGAGGAAGTCTTGAATGCAGAACATTGAACTCTCATGCCAAAGTCGCCCATAGTCACCTACAAAAGACCGTGGGAATGACAATCCAGTTTTTCCCAAGGGACTTGCCAGGGACTGTATCCAAAACCAGCTTAACAGTGTTTTTAAGCAGTTCAATAGAAAACCCACACTTTGTCGACAGTGAAATATCGATAAGTGCCTTAAAACCTCTTTAGATACAGCTATGCAAGTTTTTTATGTTTGTGTTCTAGAAGGACAGTTCCACTGAATAGTCGTGTTGATCTCTCTTACTTTATGAAACTGTACTTGAAGGTTATTCATACATTTTTTTTTCAGTAACAGCTTACTGAACTGCTGTTATTAGAAGAAAAATACTGTATTGAAAATTCAGATAACTCTCAATCTTATGCCAAAATTGAGTAGTGCGTTACGGTCCCTGTAAGTAGTGGAATCTCCTCAACGTGAAGTACCCACTGCAATAAAGTCATACGTACCACTCAGAGCAGCCTCCTGCGCACCATTTCCGGTGACCGCGGGCACGGGGACAGGAGGCACAAAGAACAAGGTCCACAAACCAGAGGGTGTTTATTGTGGCCACATTCATGCCTGTTTTTTGTGTGCGATCTCTTAGTAAGCAGCACTGGCTATGCTGGGACGTCCCGCCTGTCAGGAAACAGCCAGAAAACAAAGCAGCACGCCTCACACACTCGCTCCTCCGCCTCCGAGAAGCACAAGGAGCGGCGGCTGGTCCTGAGGGGCAGCCTGTGCCTCGCTTACGTGGAAGGCCGTGGAAGCTTGCGTCTTGATCCCTCAGGAGATCATGCTGTCCAGCCAGTCTTCCAGCTCTTCCTCAGTAACGTCTTTTGGTGTAGCTGCCTGCTCAGAGTCCGCGTTCTTTTCTCCAGTCACAGATGGTTCTGCAGGAAGTAGGGGGATGAAAGCCGTACTTGTGAGCAACCTCACATTAGTCCCAACACTGAGAGCTAATGCTCCCCAGGTATAATTCAGCCCGAATTATTACTTTCTCTATCACTGTTACCCCTCAAGTGACACGGGTAATAGCCAGACAAAACACTAAGTGCAGCAGAGGGTGGCTCTTCTTTCCTGAAGCTTCCTGTGGAAAGACCAACAGCTCCCTGTTCTTTCTACTCTTGCAGTGGTCCTGGGGCATCATTAACCCTTGCGTTAGCTGTGGTGATTGCCTGTGGCCCACCGATTCACAGAGCATGCACGTATTAACGTTGTCTGTTATACCAAGCAAGCAGCACAAGCAGAGACATGAGCACTGGACTGATGCCAGACCCAGACGGGTGTGCAGACGGACGGCATGCCAGGGTGGCTGCTCTCACAAGGATGTCAGAACCACGAAGGCAGTGAGGGAGGAATGAGAACCTACCCGTCTCCTTTTGGGCCTCCTCCCCTTCCTCAGATCTCAGGTTCTGCCAGGTCTGGCCCAGTGGGATGCTCCCTCCTGCTCTGACTGGCGCATCTAAACTGAGCAGCAGCTCTAGCTCCTCTTCCAGGCAGCCTGCTGCTGGCTGTGGCAGCGAAGCGGGGCTCTGCGATGCCCCCGAGGGGCCCAGCTGGGGGCCATCTTTGCCCAGGGACCTGGGACCGCCAGCAGCAGAGGCCCTCAGTTCCGAGAGCGAGCCCCGTAATTGCATCCCTGGCCCCTTGCCATCACCCTTTCTCTTTGGTTTCACTTGAGGAAGCTCTAAAGGAACCGTAGCCTGAAAGAGAAGTGTAAGAATCGGGTTTCAAATGGAATCATGATACAGTGGCATAAACAGGGAGGTCCAGGGAGCCACCTAGCTTTGAGGGGTAGGAAGCTGAATCTAGACATCGGTTCTCAAACAGCCTCCCCAGGGAGATGCCCAGGGCCCTCACAAACACTGGCCTGTGGAAAGCAGTGCTGAGGTGTCTTCCTGTCACTGGCCTCAACACCAACCATGCCACAGGTCTACTGAATCTGTCAGGAGACATGGGCATCGTAGAAGGTGCCACAAAGAAATGAGCAGAGTAGACCTGTTCATTGCCTTTGAAAGCATTCGGGTAAGTATAAAATTCCCCAAGAAGAAAAGATGATGCGGCCATACTATTGGATTACACAATGCCAGACACGAAAGCAAACAACCTGATTACACTTTCTGAAAACGCAGAAATGGGTAAAAATACAGTATTAGACATGAGCACAGTTGTCTTTTGGAGCTGTGAGGGCTGCTTCCGGAGGCTGACGCATGGCTATAAGCACGCTACATCTTCCCTTTCTGTGGAAAGGAGGACAGCCTTTCTAGAGGAGGCCTCGTGTGGGGTAAGTGCAGAAAAGGCATCCATCTCTTCTGGGGCCACCAACCTGTCTTTACTTCCCAGCACCCTGGACAGACCTCAAGGATTTACAGATGTGAACTGGACAAAACTGGGGTGTGGTGCTCTACCTAATCTGAGAGTCATTTAACCAGTCCACGGTGGGTGTCTGGAATCTTGCTTAGCAATCAGAGATGCACACTGGGAAGAAGAGGGAGGATTCTCTGTGACTGCCCTCCCTCCAGCACCCTGCAAAACAGCTGGTAAGACCCAGGTCTTCACCCTCGTGCCCCAGGGCAGGCTGCCGCACCGGTGGCTCACGGGGCCGGCTGATGCCTCCCTCCTCCACTGCCTGGCACCCGTGCACACACTTGCACATAAGGATTGTGAGCAAATTAACACCCAGACTTTGTACTCCAATTCTATTGCATTTGATTCCGTAAAATGTCTCACATAAAATATGAAAGAGCCACTTCCAAAATTTACTCTGTTCTCTGAAGTTGAGAAGATGATGCCTGAATACAGAATGCTCAGCTTTCCTGGAAGGAATGCCCAGGCAGACTCGCTCCCCTCCCTTGGGCTTCAGGCTGGGCTGCAGATACCTGGGACAGGAGAGGGGCCGTTTACCTGGACCAGCTCGGCAGCAACGTTGAGACGGAGTGACAGGGGCAGTTCTTGAAGGGCCCGAACCAGTGACTCACTATCCACATAAAGTGCTGAATTCTATATATATGTAGAAAACAGTAGATGATTAATTATGACCTTTTGGGAATAAAAGAATATGAAAGACGGCAGGTAAATAAGTCACTTTGGCTGGAAGTAAGTCTGATCGTAAATCACACCGATTGAGCTATAATTTCACTTTCCACATTAAGATTAGCAAAACCAAAACTGCCCTCTGGACGCACGGTGCCCACTCTCAGAGCTGGGCAGGGGATCAGCTTCATGTCAAGGCTGCCAACTGCAGGGCTCTGCCATTCCCGGTGAGCCGAGGCTGCAGATGGCTGGCGCTGGCAGGGGTGCGGCTGAGGGCCGCCTGGGAGGGGCCAGTGTGGCCGAGCTCTCCCCCAGCCAGAGTCGGGAGAGTCCGTCTGGCAGAGGCACAGCGGGGTCGGGACAGAAAAAGTGCCCGGACTCCTCCCCGCTGGACCTCAAAAACAACTTCAGAAAGTAGTTCAAAGGCCCCCAGCCCTGACACCTCTGCGTAGTGTCCTGGCCCCTTAGAGAAGCAAGCAGCTCAAAAATGGGCTCGGCAGCCTCCGGAAAGACACCCTGTGAGTAGGCAGTGGGCCAGGCTCTGACCCCTGCCCAGGGGTCTCCCAGACGCTTGGTGCAAGACCAACTCAAACTGCGGGGGTTACACCAAAGCCCTAGCACCAAAACAGTCCTTCCTCCTAGAAAAGGGAAACATCTGAAAAAGGTTAAGCATTTTTTTAAAAAAAGAATGCATGAGCCTGCAGAGTAGCACATTCTTGTAATCCCAGCATCTGTGAGACTGAGGCAGAAAGATCACAAGTTTGAGGCCCCCTCCCATCTCAGAAAAGCAAAACAAAGCATGGAGGAAGTTCATGACAGGTTCCAGGCCAGGCCTCTGCGTTGAACACAGCATTTTTAGGCATGAAGCAGGCACTGTCTCTGTCTTGCTCATTTAAAAGCCTCTACCTAATGAAACAACCTAGCAGGGGCCAGGGGTCCTGGGTTGGTCGTGGGATGACACTGTCAAGACATCTTAACCCTCTCTGGAGCGCAGCCTGGTCTGGAACACACTTACAGTGACTCCCTCTCTCCATGGAGAGTCAGCCTCCACCCAGACAGCTGAGCACCCAGAAAATGAGCCACCAGCGGAGGGAGGGGCGGGGAGGGGAGGGGAGGGACAGGGCGGGGCGGGGAGGGGCGGAGCAGCGAGGGGAGGGGCAGAGCAGGCAAGGAGACCCCTGTCTGGCTGCTGAGGGCCACCTCACGCTTTGCCAGGCCGAGCGTTCTAACTGTAGAGCGCAGGACGGGACATCGTAACTGTACGTTTTCAAAGGGGAAGAACTGAACACAGAGCTGAAAGACTTCTGTAATAGCTGTTCTTGGTTTGTATCTTTATCTTACTAATTGTAGAGCAGGTGGAACTACAAGTTAAAGCCAGGCATCAGGCAAGGGCTCACACCTGACATCCTAACTACTCAGGAGGCTGAGATCTGAGGATCAAGGTTCAAAGCCAGCTCAGGCAGGAAAGTCCATAAGACTCATCTCCAATAAATTACAAACAAACAAAAACAAAGACAACATGGAAGGAGAGCTGTGGCTGAAGCAGGAGAGCTCCACTGAACAAAAACAGTGCAGGACTAGCACCCAGGCCCCGAGTTCAAGCCTCAGGATGGGCTTGGGGGGCAGTGGGACAAAACTGTAAGGAAGCAGGGGGGAAACAAAGCTAAGTGTCACCTCTAAGGTGAACTGCCACAGACAGGGCCAGGAATCAGCCAAATGGCAGAGTAACTTACTTGGCTACATCATCACCTTGTTATCTCACAGTCTGGCTTATGAGAAAGTCACACACAGGGCCAGACATAGACCTGAGAGAGAGCTCAAGTTTGCAGGGCCTGTGCAATTTCCACTCCCTGAAAATGCGTAGAGTACACACACACGCACACACGCACGCGCACACGTACACGCATGCGCACACACACACACGCACGCGCACACACAGACATACACGCACGCGCACACACATGCACAGACATACACGCACGCACGCGCACACACACGCAAGCACATGCGCACACGCACATGTGTGCGCACACACGCACACATGCGCACGCACGCACACACGCGTGCGCACACATGCACATACACGCACACACACACGCACGCACACACGCACGCACACACATGCACAGACATACACGCACGCACGCGCACACACGCACGCACGCACGCGCACGCACGCACACATACACACACGTGCACACGCACACACACGGGGGCTGGCCTCGCAGGGGCGGCCCTCAACACAGGCTTGTTTACCTGTTTTGGACATGAGGTGTCACCTTCCCATTCTTTCTCCTCAGCAAACCGGAACTGTGAGAAGGAGTCCCCTAGAAATAGAACAAAAATGCATAATTTTATGTGAAAACTACAGGAAAAGACTGTTTCTTCCCATTTCCCTTTTGGTGTAAATGGGCCGCTTCCTTGTGTGCGGAGCCTGCTGCCCCGCCTCCTCTCTGAGACACACCCCACGGAAGACCACGGGATCAGCCAGGTGCCAGGTCCACACCTGTAACCTCACCGCTCAGGACCAGCACAAGCAGGGAGAAAGGGACAGAAGGAATATAGCTCAACGTAGAAAGGCTTTCCGTGACCAGTCTACACAGCAGACGTCATTCTGAAAAGGGGAAAACTGAAAGCATTTTCCCAGGGTGAGAAAGGGCACCATCGTCCCCTCTCCCTACTCTTGCTCAAGGCAGTACCTGAACGCTTAGGGCAATAAATAAGGCAAACAAAACACAAGAATACACTTAACCAAGAAAACAAGAGACTGCTACCACAAAAATCTCTGAAACATGGAGAAATTAAAGAAAACACTAGAAGATGGAAAGACCTCTCATGCCCATGGACTAGAAAACTAATATTGTAAAAATTGCTGTATTACTGAAAGCAAAAAAAATCCAAAGCAGAACCCCAATGCATTCTTCACAGAAATAGAAAAATAAAAATAAAAAACAACATGGAAGCTTGAGAGCTCCAGAATACAGAAACAATTCTGAGAAAAAAGTAAGGTTTGAAAGATTACATTAACATCAAATTACTTTACAGAGCCGTAATAATGAAAACAAGGCACTGGGCAAACGCAAGCGTAAGCCAGGTGGGTGCGGTGGCTCACACCTACAGCCCTGTCTACTCAGGAGGCTGAGTGCTGAGAGGGTGGCGGTGCAGTTTGGAGTCAGCCCGGCAGATGTGTATCACAGCGCCATCCACCATAGCCCAGATGCCCTCAGGGGAGACACAGTGGAATTTCAGTCATCCATTAGAAAGAATGATATTGTACCATCTGTAAAGAAATGGAAAGACCTGAGAAAAATTAAGTGAAGGATGTCAAGCCTGGAGAGACAAAGGATCCATGTTCTCCCTTAGATGTGAAGCCAGAGTTAGCTTACAAACTCCTAATTACACTGAGTGCTGTGTGCAAGTATATGCATATGTATTAACTGAAATGCCGCAGATTCAAGGGAGAACTCAAATTGCGAAATTCCTTACAAAGTCCAAGTTTAGCACCAGTGGCTGGTGCTGAAAGGGCTGAGGTGAGGCCAAGGGGAGAGGGGTGGACAAATGAAAAGAGAAGAGGGGGAGAATGCGTACCCTACAGAATTACGAGTGAGGGAAGGTGGGTAGAGGGATGGGTGAGAATGTGGGAAGGGTGACCTGGAAGATGTCTGTATTCATAAACTGCTTTGTTAAATGCAACTCCTTTGAGACTCTTATCTCCAACTCACTAGCAAAATGCTGGGCTGGACAGGTGGCTCAAGTGGTAGAGTACCGTGGTGAGCAAGGTGAGTGAGCTTGAGGCCCTGAGCTCAAGCTCCAGTACTGGCACATGCATTCACTCACACATACAAAATAGGCCTGTGTACCAATGAAATAGAAAAGAAGATCTAGAAATAAGCCCCTAAGCTATAGTCACCCAATCATTGACAAAGGCTCAATATCCACCATCTCTAGAAGGTTGAAACTAGACCCCCAAGCAAACATCAGTTCAAAGTAGCTCAAAGACCTTAATGTAAGACCTGAAACTTTGGTACTATCAGAAAACACTTGAAGACAAAGGCTTGGGTGAGAGATACAGGAATAAGACACTAACAGCTCAAGAAATAGGTAATAATTGACAAATGGGATTGACCTAAAGTACAAAGCTTCTGCAAAGCAATTAAGTGACCAGAATGGAGACAGATTATAGAATGGGAGAAAATCTTTCTCAGATATTCATCAGATAAGGATTCATAACAATATATACAAAATTTAAAAACTAAACAAAAAGAATAATCCAATTAATAATTTAGCAAACAAACTGAACAGGTAGTTCTCAAGAATTACAAACTGCCAATAGATACATGAAGAAATATTCAACATCCCTAGCCACAAAGGAAATGTAAATCAGAGGCCGTAACTAAGAAACAGCAAATGCTGGTAAAGAAGGAGGGGGTGAGGGAAAAGGGACCGTTAAATACCATACTTCCATTGCAAAAATCAGTACAAAGCTCCTTTAAAAATGAAAGATAGCCGGCGCCTGTGGCCCACGCCTGGAATCCCAGCTACTCAGTATTTGTCAAAACTATGACCCTTAGAAACAGAGGTCCTACAACACACATTATCATCCAGAATTCTTTCCCCACAACACAGTAACATGAGCAGAAAGAATGGCGCACTTCCCAAACAGGACACTCGGACAGCATGCCACCAGATGTGCCGGTGTGTACCGTCACCCGAGAGCACACCGTCAGATGTGAGGTGTGCACCGTCACCCGAGAGCACACCGTCAGATGTGAGGTGTGCACCGTCACCCGAGAGCACACCGTCAGATGTGCGGGTGTGTACCGTCACCCGAGAGCACACCGTCAGATGTTGTCAGATGTGAGGTGTGTACCGTCACCCGAGAGCACACCGTCAGATGTTGTCAGATGTGAGGTGTGCACCGTCACCCGAGAGCACACCGTCAGATGTGAGGTGTGCACTGTCACCCGAGAGCACACCGTCAGATGTGAGGTGTGTACCGTCACCCGAGAGCACACCGTCAGATGTTGTCAGATGTGAGGTGTGTACCGTCACCCGAGAGCACATCGTCAGATGTTGTCAGATGTGAGGTGTGTACCGTCACCCGAGAGCACACCGTCAGATGTTGTCAGATGTGAGGTGTGTACCGTCACCCGAGAGCACATCGTCAGATGTTGTCAGATGTGAGGTGTGTACCGTCACCCGAGAGCACACCGTCAGATGTGAGGTGTGTACCGTCGTCACCCGAGAGCACACCGTCAGATGTTGTCAGATGTGAGGTGTGTACCGTCACCCGAGAGCACACCGTCAGATGTGCCGGTGTGTACCGTCACCCGAGAGCACACCGTCAGATGTGAGGTGTGTACCGTCACCCGAGAGCACACCGTCAGATGTGAGGTGTGTACCGTCACCCGAGAGCACACCGTCAGATGTTGTCAGATGTGAGGTGTGTACCGTCGTCACCCGAGAGCACATCGTCAGATGTTGTCAGATGTGAGGTGTGTACCGTCGTCACCCGAGAGCACATCGTCAGATGTTGTCAGATGTGAGGTGTGTACCGTCACCCGAGAGCACATCGTCAGATGTTGTCAGATGTGAGGTGTGCACCGTCACCCGAGAGCACACCGTCAGATGTGAGGTGTGTACCGTCACCCGAGAGCACACCGTCAGATGTTGTCAGATGTGAGGTGTGTACCGTCACCCGAGAGCACACCGTCAGATGTTGTCAGATGTGAGGTGTGTACCGTCACCCGAGAGCACACCGTCAGATGTTGTCAGATGTGAGGTGTGCACCGTCACCCGAGAGCACACCGTCAGATGTTGTCAGATGTGAGGTGTGTACCGTCACCCGAGAGCACACCATCAGATGTGAGGTGTGCACCGTCACCCGAGAGCACACCGTCAGATGTGAGGTGTGTACCGTCACCCGAGAGCACACCGTCAGATGTGAGGGTGTGCACCACCACTGGACACCTTCTTCAGCTTGGTGATGTCTGAACCGTCACTGCACTCACCACCCCTGTGTACTCAAAGTCATCACTGCTCAGTCTATGAAAACACACTCTCTTCCTCCCTCTGCCACTTAAGAGACCACACACAATCTCCTCACACGAGAGCTCAGGAGGCTGAGATCTGAGGATCACGGTTCAAAGCCAGCCTGGGCAAGGAAAGTCTATGAGACCCTTATCTCCAATAAACCACTAGAAAACCGGAAGTGGCGCTGTGGCTCAAGCGGTAGAGCGCTAGCCTTGAGCTGAAGAGCTGAGGGACAGCGTCCAGGCCCAGAGTTCAAGACCCATGACCCACCAAAAAAAAAAAAAAAGATATATATGAAATTCATATATGTACACAAAATACGAATTGATGCACTGAAAGGAGTCAAGACGAAGTGCAATTTTAAGCGAGTATCTCACTGGGGATGAAGTGAAGGAGACTTTTCCTTTCTATAGAATACAGAAAGCTTCATTTTCCTTTGAAGACAACAAGCACATGTTACTTTTGGAACGGAACCAAACAAGAGGTAAGGCAATCCAGAGAAACAGCCAATTCTCTGAAGGGCCAGGGAGCTTTGGGGTACACTAGCTCTGGAAGGCTGCAGAGGGGCTCAAGGACATGGCAATACAGCTGCATGTGCCACACACAGCGCTGCCAGCACCCAGTACTGCACTAATAACTCAGTCACTGGCTGACCAAAAGCCATCTCCCCCGCACTCTGCTAGACTCGTGTGAGTTCTCCACAACAAAAACACATTTAGTGTCCTGACAGGTGATATGTGGGCGACGTCGGTAAACGTGAAAAACTAAGAAATTAAGAATTTCTCCTTCTAGGAGAAACTTTAGGGCAATTGAATCATCTACACAGCTATTTAAAGTGTGTTAAGTAGTGTTGGTGAGAGAGAGGACACTCCAGCCTACTCACTGTAAACGTCCAGAAGTCAGAGGCTCAGGGCCCAGCTGTGCTACAATTCCACAGACACCTCTGGCTTACAAAAAGCCTGTGAGCGAAACTAGCAGCTTTCACTTCTAGAGGAGCCTTCAGCACCACCATCAAAATGGAGCTGAGCCAGCCCAAAGCAGCAATGAACCCGTAGAGCCTCCCGTGCACTTCCAAGCAAGAGCACAGAAAGAGACAGGAGCCAGTCTGTGCACACTGCCTGGGCCAGTGCACACCAGCAGCAGCAGAGACCACCCAACCGCTGCAACTGGCCTCCTTCGGGGCCATTCTCCCCCAGGAGGCATGGCTGGGTGCGGGGTCCTGACAACCAGAGTCGAGGATGTCCCCCACCTCAATGGTTGCCCGAGGCAAGCCCCCGGGGAGACCGACCATAAC